CCTTTTAACTACAGATATATTTCTCCCCATCTTTTTCACCACTTCTTCTATATGTCTTGACCACGACAAAGTACAGTCTAAGGTTACCCCAAGAAGCTTTGTTTCATTTACCTGCTCGACAGCAACATTATTTAGTACTAAATCCAACATTGGCCTTGTTTTTAATGAACATTTAGTTCCAAATAAAATACTTTTAGTCTTGGCTATATTTAAGACAAGTTTATTATCAGTGACCCAATTAAATACCATCTGCAACTCATTATTGAGAGCTTCAGTAATGTTTTCTAAAGCTGGTGCAGGCATATAAAGTGTTACATCATCCGCATACATAGACACAGAAGCTCTTTTACAGACCAGTGAGAGATCATTCGTAAAGATAGAAAAAAGCAATGGTCCTAATGAAGACCCTTGTGGAATCCCACATGCTACAGACCTCACCTCAGAGAAGCTTCCATTGAAATACACCTTCTGTGTTCTATCTGTCAAGTAGCTCTCTACTCATGCTAATGCAGATGGTGTAAAACCATAACATTTGAGTTTCCCTAGTAACAAACTATGGTCGATTATGTCAAAGGCAGCACTAAAATCTAATAATACTGCTCCGACAATATTTTGGTGATCAATATACTTTAACCAGTCATCTGTCATTTGTACAAGAGCTGTACAAGTTGAATGTCCTTCTCCATAAGCATGCTGGTATTTGCTTAACCATTCATTCATAGTGAAATAACCTTGTATCTGGTTAAATACGATTTTTTCTAAAAGTTTACTTATAGCAGGTAACAAACTGATTGGTCGACTGTTAGAGCCAGAAAAAACAGCACGAGCATTTTTCGCTAAGGGGATTACCTTTGCTTCTTTCCACACTTGTGGGCACACTTTCCTCTCAAGACTAAGATTAAAGATATGACATATGGGAGTGGCAATGTGGTCTACTACCATCCTCAATAGCTTTCCATCCAGGTTGTCTGTACCAGGTGGCTTGTCATTATTAATAGACAATAGTACTTGTTTTACTTCTTCTCTCGTCACTTCTCGAAATTTAAATGAACAGTTCTTATCATTCATTATTTCTTCTGATATGCATGAATAAGTTGACTCACAGTATGATATTGGCATTTTTTGCCTTAGTTTACCAACTTTATCAATGAAGTAGTCATTAAAATAATTTGCAATGTCTACAGGTTTAGTTATAAACGATCCTTCAACTTCAATCCATGATGGGGTCAAATTACTCTTTCTACCCATGATATTATTTAAGGTTCTCCAGAGCTTTTTTCCATCATGTTTTATACAATTTATCCTGGATTCATAGTACAGTTTCTTTTTCTTTCTATTCAGGTTGGTGACATAATTCCTCAATTTACAATATATTTGCCAATCATATACCAGTCCAGACTTCTTTGCCACTTCTCTTGCATTTTCTCTTTGACCCATATATCCTTTTAATTCCTCATCAACCCAAGGAGCCCCAGCAGTTCTAACAGTCAGCCTCCTAACAGGTGCATGTTTATCCATAACTGGGACCAGCAATTTCATGAATACATCAAGTGCAGTATCTGGGTCTTTCTGTTGAATGACATCAGACCAACAGATATTTCTAACATCCTCCACATATGAATCACAGCAAAAGCCCTTGTACATTCTTTTATATACAATTTTTGGCCCCGCCTTTGGAACTTTAGTTTTCCTGGATAAGCCCACCAAATTATGATCACTAAAGCCGATCGAAATTGATACGGCTTTAGAACAGAGTTCAGCTACATTGGTGTAAATATGATCTATGCATGTGGATGATATTAGTCCCGTCTTATTAATACATTCCCTGGTTGGCTGGTTAATAACCTGAACAAGATTACAAGCCCCAGTTATAGTAAGAATTTTCTTTTTCTATTTTCTATATTTTCTATAATTTTCTATATATATAGAAGTCAATGGGTGCTGTCTGTCAGTGTCAACTGTCTGGTGGTTACCAACATTCTTTAAAATATCTTCTTTTGTGTTCAACAGAAGAAAGAAACTCATACAGGTTTTGAACAACTTGAGGGTGATTATGTTATGACATTTTTATTTTTGGTTGAACTATCTCTTCAAAGATTCGAGAGAAGATGAGTAACTGATAGTAAGAGCCTTTGTGAACTGAGGATGGGGAGGAATGCTCCAAATAAAACGTATTGTGTATGTTTTTGAATTTATTGTATGATTTTATTAACACTGAAACTTAAATTAAATTTTGCTAAATCTAAATGGGTTTGATTTTCCATGTAGCCTACCACATGATGCAGCAAAACGCCATGACGTAAAAGAATCAAAGAATGCATTCTTTGAAATGAATTGTTCGAGAGAGCCGATTAGAGAAGAGTCGGACACCCATCAGTAAAAGGAAAGAGGAAACGTACGCGCATGCGCGGAACCTCTCTTTTGATTGGTCTTGTGTTAAAGTCTTCCTTCATGCGTTTAAACATTGTAACAAAATGTAAAGTGCGTTTTGTAACTTGTTTTTGTTATAGATAATGTTAAATCCTAAAAAGTTCCCTTCTCTCCCAATATCAAAGTGTGTGAGTGCTTTATGTTGAGCTCGTGGCGGTAGTTGTACATAAGTAAACGACAGGTGCAGAAACCAGAAATAAACTACAGGAATCTCTCTTGACACTAAAACAACGTATTTTCTACAGCAAATCAAAACACATTTACAATGTAACGTTGTAAGTATAAACACAGGTAAATATGTTATTAACATGAAAATATATAAACATAGATAGATTGTAGAAGTGTACGGGTTTTCATCCGGCAAACATTGGCAACTACAGAGCAAACGAAAACATCGATTAAAATAAGACGTTACTTTAAAGAAATTAAAAGAATAAACTGTGAATACAACCAGAAATGTTCCCATTGGAATACATAAAAAAAACGCACAACTTACCCTGGGATTGAAATAATTTCCGTTCTCTGATAGGACTGGATTAGGATGCAGTGGGAAAGTCCATCGACAGATCGACTAGGTTTAGGAAGCCAACTGTTGTCTCAAAGGTAAGAAAAACAGCCCCTGCTGGCCGTCATCATCTCGCCATGCTTACAATTACATTAAATAATTGATGGTAGACTGACCAAAACTGTAACCATAGAATTATTCCAGACGGAAATCCTTAAATTTGAATACAAACATGAATGAGAATGAGACCAAGATAAACATTTTTTTTTTATGTAGAAATTGTGATTTATTTATGGTTGACTGCACACACAAAAAACAATCAAACAGAGGTTAATATAATATAAAAGAAATGTTAGTTTTTATTTCCAGTAAGCGATTAAATTAATTATATATTCTAAATAAATTAAATAATTATATATTCATGAAATCATTATATTATTAACCCTTTTGCTGTGTTGAAAAACCTATAACACCTTTTGTGTTCCCGGTCAGATATGGCCAGCCTTTTAAAAATTGCTTTTAAATCGCTTGCTATGCTATATTGTCACCAAATATTGGATTCAATCTTTTTGTAAAATTTTCTTTCAATTTGGACAGGTTTTGTATTTTTTATTTTTGGAATGGATTGATTGTAGGCCTCGTTGATCTGAGCTTATGCAACTCGTATGCAACGTCTTCTGTGTGTAAAAAGCATTATTTGTGGATAAATTTGTCAATATTCAACAAAATATGGAACAATTGCACCATTTATTACACTAGAGCACTGTAAAATTTAACCAGGAAGTTTTTTTTTTTTTTTTTTTACAAAATGGCCTACAAGCCTTTGTACCAGCCTACAAAAAAATTGCTTATAAATCTCCCATCATAACCAAAATTGGATTCAATATTTTTTTGTGAATTTGCTTTCTATCAATTAAGAAGGTTTCTGGTTAAACATTAAAGCGTATTAGTGTGATAAATTGATATAAATAATTGTACATTTTATTCAATATTATTAATATACATTTTCGGGGAAAAGAAAATCCTCTCCAGGTCAAAATGACCCAGGCACAACATAAGAGTCAATCAATAACTTATTAACTGAGATAAAATTGGTGCATAATAATCAGGATAAATTCCATTTTAAAATACAGTTTTTTATTTAACATGATGAAGTCTATAAAATGTTATGGGATGTCTCCCTTATTTGGATTTGGAGTGGTTAATTACTATTAACACACAATATCCAATCTTTGTTTGTTAAACCAACCCTGTCAGTTATTGATTAAAAAAATGATGTACTCATGAGTTAGTCCTCTTTATCTTTGGTTTGGCTCCAAGCAAGTGTAGTTTCTTGAGAGATGCGTAATAAGGCAACACCCACAGATACTGTGATAAAACCACACAGAATACCCAAAAAGTCCACAATGCCGAGTGCTGTCCATTCCCTGAAAAGAATAGCGGAGGCTATGATGACACAGGAGGTGAAAGTCACATAGTAAATGGCCTCAAACATGTTAGAGCTAAAGCTCTCCAAGGCTTTGTTGATAAAGGTGAACTGGATCAGAATACTGACTATGAGAATTCCCAGCAACCCCAGGAAGAGGTAAAGTGCTCTGCTATCACCTGTAGGTGTTCCACTGAAGGCCTCCTGAGCAGCCAGTCCCAGGCCTTTGCTGCTGGGCACAGTGAAACTCCCAAGGAGAGAACAGATGCCCACATACACCATAATGTTGGATTTTCCATGAACTGGAGACAGCCAACCGATCAGAATGATCAGTGATAAGACCACCAGTGAGATGTACACCAGGAACACTGAATCATGAGTGGAAAGATCAGAAACATGGTATGGTTCATTGTATGAGAGTGAGTTAAAGGGATAGTGAAAATTCTGTCATCATTTACTCACCGTCAAGTTGTCCTAAATCTGTATGAGTTTCTTTAAAGAAGATATTTTGAAGAATATGGGTAACCTAACACTTGCTGGTCCCCATTGACTTCCATAGTAGGAAACAAAATACTATTGTTAATGGGGACCAGAAACCAAAATTCTTCAAAATATTTTCTTTTGTGTTCAACTGAACAAAGAAACTCATACAGGTTTAAAACAACATTAGGGTGAGTGAATGTAAATGATGACAGAATTTTCATTTTTGTGTGAACTATCCCTTTTAAGTTTATTCATTCACACATCAATTAATATAAAGATGATGAAGCAGGATTCATTCCAGAGAAAACAAAACAAAAGGACCTTTAAATGTCATATTTTGTATCTATGTATTGCTATGCAAAAACAGACCAGAAAAAAAGAGCTGCAGATGCTCTTATCCAAAGCAACCTACTAGACACTATTTGCAGGAATAGCCCACTTGAAAAAATCTGCCGTTAAGTGATTTTCACAAAAGTACAATAAGATGATTTCCATAACGTTACAATTCATGTCAGGTTTCTTTTGTATCAGGTTTGTGTTAACCCTTCTTATTCTTAAAGGGATAATCCACCCAATAATGACAATTCTGTCATCATTTACATACCCTCATGTTGTTCCAAACCTGTATTCCTTTCTTTCTTCTGCAGAACAAAATATTTTGAATAATGCTGGTAAGAAAACATTTTCCCATTGACATTGTATTTTATGTCCACACTATGTATGTCAATAAGGACTGAAACAGTATGGTTATCAACGGTCTTCATAATATCTTTTTTAGTTCCACAGAGCAAAGAAAGTCATACAGGTTTGGAATGACATGAAGGTGAGTAAATGATGACAGAATTTTAATTTTTGGGTGAACTATCCCTTTAACCACCAGACTACCATTGAGAATAGATGAATTATGGCTCCACCAGACATGTTTATCATACCTGGGCCCATCAGTCTTTCCTCTAGTTCTGCTCTTGATGTAACATTTTCAGACTTAGGTGAGTGAATGATGAGCACAACTGAACCACAACAGCACAAAGCGCAGCCGAGTTTCCCTATGAGATTGAGATGTTCCTGAAGCAGCCAGGATGCCAGAACGGCCCTGATTAATGATGAAAAGACAAAATCACATTAATCACTCCAGGTCACAGTATAGGTGCTCATATGCTGATTAAAATGTGAAATAAATGTCAACTGTTGTTGTTGCTGCTGTAATATTTATTTTGAGATTGCTCAGACCACTGCATTGAATACATTTCAATTAATGAAGATTATCTTAATATAAATAAAATAAAGAAATTCACCCAAACAGGACTCCCAGGGCTCCAAGGGGAGTGACCACAACTGCCGGGGCAACATTGTATGCCAGAAAATTTCCTATTTGTCCCACAATCACTTAAAAAAAGAAAGAAAAAAAGCATAAACACACAGTACCTTTATTAACATTAATTACATTTTATTTGCAGATATAGAGGTATTACTCACTTGCAAGTGTACCACACCACCAGACACAGTCAGCCAGGTAAGTTCCACCTGTAGTGACATAAATCATCCTTTAAATATTAGCCTACATCTGGACAGGAAGTGTAACTTTTCTTTGGGACAAAATAGGGAAATGGCGGTCTTCTGATGTGAAATACCTGATTTGCGGGCTCGCAGTATCCCCTTTTTCTGGAGTACAAACGTGGATCCATTAATAAAACTGGACACAACAGCAATCGCAACACCAACTACTGGGAATGAAGTGTCGTCCATAAATGTATGCGGGTTTATGAACGGTCAGTGTAAGTCCTTAGATCACTTTTTGACTGGTGTTGATAAAGCCCTTATAGGGTTGTGGTGGACTGTGGTTGTAGTATGGGTCTAGAAATGCACAAAAACATATGAATCGGCGTGCATTACATCCCGGAAGTGCATTCTCAGGAGTTCCTTGCCAAACTAACGACCTCTACTGGTTAAAGGAGAGGACCAAACTAATATCTAATAAAGAGTAATTAAACAGATAAAGTTTACGCATTTAAAGCAAATAAAACAGAATTATATTTAAAAGGCCCATTCTGTGTCCCTGTGTTTCACGATACATGTAGTACAAATATGAGGTGGCGGCGCAGAGCTTCAAGCTGTTAACAGCAGGTGGCGTTGTGATATAAAAAGTAAGTTTACATGTGAAAGTTTCAGCCACCTTTCACTTTCATTGAATGGGGGGAAAAAATATGTAATACAAGTGAGTAGTCAATTTGGCTGTCAGTCTCATGAGGGTGAGTAAATGTTGACAGAATTTTCTTAAAAATGACATTGGAACATTTATTTTATTCACACAAATTTTCAAGTTTTAAAATGTATACATTTTAAGTTTATAACAGGGGTGCCAAATCCTGTTCCAGGAGATCTACCTTCCAGCTAAGTTCAGCACCCCTGATCAAACACAACTGAACCAGCTAATTAAGATCTCCAGGAGCACTTGGTAATTACAGACAGGTGTGTTGGATCAGGGTTGAATCTGAACTCTACAAGTAGATCTCCAGGAACAGGATTGGGCCCCTGGTTTATAGAGTGTATTGTTTATTTCTCTAAATTGTTGTATTGAATTTAATAATGTTGTGTTTTTGGACAATTATTGTATACATAGAAATCGATCATCTTCAAATTCCTAAAACCTATGCATAAAAAAAAAAAAAAAAAAGATTATTAAAAAAAAGAAGAATTGTAATATTTTTCTGTCTTCTATGTTTTTTATCTTTATTTTTTACTTATTTGAGACATGGTTACTAGTATTTCATTTAAGCAATGATATGAATTTTAATTACAAATATTTATTTAATTCAGAACAAGGGCATTTTAAATATAGTGGATTTCATTAGTCCTACATTTTTACTTTACTTACACTGTAATAATGCTAAATTAATTAACAATTAAATAAATGAAAAATACATTTAATTAAATAAAGAAAAATTGGTGCTGTGGTGTGGCATCTAAAACTCCCAATTCTTTTAAAATTCCGCATAAAACTGCGCATGCAATTTTATGACCTTATTAATTTTGAAACTATGCTGAATATTTGTACTTTATGAATTAATTTGTCACACCTCACGATAACCTAGTGGAATAAAAAATGATTGAAATCGTGAAAAACGTAAAGAAATCGTGACAGGTCAAAATATACACTATCCCTTATACATACATTAATATACATTTTTGCTTAAAATATAGGCAAGTCCAAGAAAAATGCTTATTTGTGTATTATAGTTTATGCGGTGAAACCATAGACTGTAAACGAAATATACGTCATTTTATAAATGCTCAATTTTTATGAACGCCGTGCTCCATGTGTCCCTATCCCAGTCTGTGATAGGCCCTTGCGTCGTCCCGCCCTCCGATTGTTGTACGTCATCTGATTCTTCTGCATTTGTTTGGCTGCCAATACTGTCAATCAACACACGACATGGCCGACATTAAAGTGCAGTGAAGCTGGTGGTAGGACCGAAGCAGCAAGGATTCAATAAGACAACCAAACAGGTAAAAAATGCGTTGATTCCGTTATGACTTTTAGGATAGGAAAAGGAGGCTGGGTTGCGGTATTAATAGGTTGTAGTGTGTTGAAGAATAGCAGGCCAGGGCGCTGTTTTTGGGAACGTCCTGTAATGTAGCTGCTAGCGGCTGACAGCCTGAGTTCCATTAACAACACACCGTTCACAGATAGCAACCTGCAGCATTACATACAGCAATCATCTGTTGATTAAAACAACAACAACAACACTATTTTACTCACATGTAGATACTGACATGAGAGATTAGATACGGATGTGACCAAGCCGACACCCAGTTTATTGTAATAAATTATTTTAGTGATGCTCTCCTGTTCGATCAGGTCTGTATGCTTTAACACAGTTCCACAATCATATTTTAATATTTTTTAATTATGTTTTTTTTTTTCATATTTTACTGCTTATGTTAAATATTTCTCTTTGTTCGTTTTCATGCATTGCAAGGGTAGGTGGAAGACTGTGTTTAACATTTCAAGGTTGATTAGGCTTGAAGTTAAAGGAACAGTTCACACAAAAATTAAACGTTTGTCAGTATTGGCTTATCCTTATATCATTTCAAAGCCATTTTGAAGAATGTGTTGTGCAATAACAATTAAGGGTGACAAAATATGTAAAATCACATAAGGGATTCAAAATCATTAAAAAATGTCCATTATACTTGTGTGCTTGCATTCCAAGAATTGCTTGATCCTTTTTGCAGAATCAATCTGGGTGATTCTTGAGTTCCAAAAACTCAATGATTTGATCTCAATATTTAAAGAAATAGTTCACCTAAAAATTAAAATTATCTCATAATTTACTCAATCCATCCTGAGTTTCATCTTTCACCCGAACACAATCCGAGTTAGGCTATATTAAATATCCTAGCTCTTCCCAGCTTTGTAATGGCATTGAATTATGTCAGAGTTTTTGAAACTCCAAAAAGTGCTTTCATCCATCATAAAAGTAATCTATAGGTTAAGTCGGTTAATAAATGCCTTCTGAAGCAAAGCAATGTTTTTTTTTTGTAAGAAAAATATCCATATTTAAAACTTTATAAACCATAATCACTGGCTTCCGGCAATGGCTGTGTTCACGAGAGAGTCTCGGCGGTAGGTTGACCTGACGTAATTTCGGTGTTTCTCACAAAGATATCATGCAAGAAGACTTGAAATATAGTGCTTGAGTAGTGTGGACTATTTTGATTTTGAGATATAATATACACAGCACTGAAACTGCCCTTCTCAAAGTGACAAATGATCTGTTGCGGTCTGTAGACTCTGGGAATTGTGCGGTTTCAGTGTTTCTTGACCTTAGCACGGCTTTTGACACTGTGTGGATCATGGGGTCCTTCTTTACCGTTTAAAGGAGTGGGGTGGGATTAGGGGCTTGCTTTTAAGTGGTTCTCCACCTATTTCGATGGAAGATCTTTTGCAGTGGAGCTTGGAAGCTCTATTTCGTCTTCTCAGCCCATTTCCTCAGGGGTTCCTCAAGGTTCATGCTTTTTGTACTTGACCCCCTAGCCACTAATGTCAACACCCAAGCGAGGAACCTTGGTGTAATTTTTGATTCTGAGCTGAAATTTGACAAACACGTTAATGCTGTGGTTAAACGTAGTTTCCATCAATTGCGGAGCATCGCCAAATTGAAGAGAATTCTGTCTTTTAAGGACATGAAAACTGCCATTCATGCTTTTATTTTGTCCAGATTGGATTATTGCAACTCGTCATATTTGGGATTGTCTAGAAAGTTGCTATCAAGGTTGCAGCTGGTGCAAAATGCAGCAGCCAGACTGTTGACAGGCACAGGGAAATGGTCTAGAATTTCTCCGGTGCTGGCCTCTTTGCACTGGCTTCCTGTTGATTTTAGAGTCCAATATGAAGTTTTCACCATGGTTTTTAAAGCTTTGCATGGTCTTGCTCCGGAGTATATAGCATGATGTCTGTTACAGCATCATTATTCCGCTCGACCCCTAAGATCATCCCAGAGTTTGCTCTTACATGTTCCCAAATCACGGTTGAAAACCAAAGGAGATCGTGCATTTTCTGTGACAGCCCCGTGTCTTTAGAATAGTCTTCCACTGCATATCAGATCCTGTGACTCGTTAGAATGTTTTAAATCTATGCTGAAAACACACATCTACACTGTGGCATACAATTGCCCCTAGGTTTTGGGACACTGATCAGTGTTGTATATTGAGCCATTGTTTTGTGTTGAGTAATGTTTGAGTGTTTATTGAGTATTTTGTTTTAGACATGTACAGCACTTTGGCCAACTTGTGTTGTTTTTAAATGTGCTAAACAAATAAATGTTGATTGATTTGATTGATTTTTTTTCATGAAAAAGACTGACATCCTTTAAAAAATTCTCGAAAAAAATACCAAATTTTCAATGTTGGTTGGATGACCTATCCCTTTAAAATTACTTGATGTTATTTCTAGGCCTATTTTAATGGTTTTGTAATGCATTATATGTTTTTTAGGAATAGGATGAATGTTCAACACCAAGTATTATGCTGAATGAATAGCCTATAGTTTTGATTTTGACTATGAAGACGCTTCCCAATTATCTGAAACTGCCAGATTGCATCATCACCTACACACTGTACTGCACTGACTCAACTACTGTGCCTTTGGGAAAATCTATATGCAATTAATCAATATTAACTGGGGTGGGGTAGTCATTTTACTGAGATCTAGATACCATGACGTGTTTTGTTTTGCTTGTCAAAGCTTCACGCCACAGTGTTAACTTGTTGTTTAATCCGTGAATGTGTCTCTTTAAGGAAGGCTGCGTCTGCAGCCTGGAGAGCTGTGAGGGAATGATGCCGTCTCCATCTTTTTCCCTTGATGCCCAGCTGCGCTTCCATGACAAATGGCTAAAGATAGACTTGCAGGTAAATTTTGTCATGAATGAATTTTGTCATCGGTCCAAATATTGTCGCCCAGGATGCCCAAGCCTTGATGCTAAATATAGTGTTGATGTTTTTTTAGGGGGGCAGGGATGTATTGAAGTCCTTATCCGAAAGCTACTTGGTTGCACTGTTGGTCAACATTTAGCAATGTGGGTAGTACTAAGTCTCAGCAGAAAGAGGAATTGATTGTTGACATTGAAAATCTTTTGTATCTTGTCTCTGGGTGAGTACTGATGCTGAATGGCAGTAGATACATATTTTTGGTGCATATTAAAAGTATCGCTTGAGGTCTTAAACTTAAAAAGCTTGTATTGTGTGTTTCCGAAAATGGTTCCCTTAGCAATGGGGTAACAGCATTTCAGTCAATGTGCCTTGCTGTCAGAGCTCTCAAAGCAAACAGAATTCTCTTTATGCTTATTTTCCTGACTTCCTGTTGGTGTTTACAGTGAGACTTCTCATGCTGCCTGATTTTATGAATATTGTGAACTTGCCAGAAGCTGTTTTGGTAGCTTTTTGTTTGTGAGAAATATATATAAAAATAATAATAATTTGTTTTGGGAGACTATTGCTTGAAACGAGACAGGCTAGCTTGTCAGTTTTGTTTTGAAAATTTACTTTTGTACTTTTGTTGTTTAGTTAGGCTATGTGTTTCAGTGACTTCAGTGTTATAGGTTGAATAATTCTGTTGTTCTTCCTAAATTGGGATGTGAGATGTTAATAATAGGGCTGCATTAAAATCTAATTGTGATTCTTCTAATAAAAAAACGCAGCCTTTGTTGTTTGATATTCGCACTAAGCCATATCACGATTTTGGTTTTACTTTAATTGTGTAGCCCTATTTATTAACCATCTTGTTGCCATGTCATCACGGTCCATGTTAACTGTGGTCCGTGTTACGTTCATATTTCATGCGAACCGCACCAAAGACATGTAAACGAACCAGAAACAGGACATGAAGTCACAAGATGTGACCCTAAAAAGGACCGAATGCTCAAGCATACCTGTGTTGTTTTCTCGTCATTGTCTCGATGTTGCCCATCACAGTTCGGGACAGGCATCAGAGCCGGGTCTCCTCGCAGCAGATCTTAGTTTGTGTGTGTGACGGAGGGAATCCTGCCACTGTTTTGACTCCTTTACACATTTTATAAGTTCTTCACGAGTTGTCAGCTCCAGCATAATATACCATCATATGTACGCATATACAGCATTGAATTTAAAATGGTACTGAATGATTAGCATATTCATATACTCTAATATTCATATTCTGATATTACATGGTACTTTAAAGAGTAAATTTGGTACTACCGCAGTACATGTCCTAAAGCCAAGGTAGTACTGCTTTTTGTTAGTGGTGGTTGTTGATATGACCAGCATTTATGTTAAATTTCATTTTATCTTTTTACACGTATAAATGGTATTTAACTGTTTTAAAATAGGTTTGTGTTAAGTGTGGTAGTAGATTATACAGCAATTTTATTTCTCTCCACAATGTCCAATTCTGTGATGAATATGGTTTTCGATTATGTCTATTTTACATTTTTCAGTTATCTCACCAAACAGTTTGGCTTATGAAAATGTGACATTTTCTAAATTAAGATGCGTGTAAAGTAAATGTGCTATACCGCTACATGATTATTGACATTTTGTTGCAGAGATATTGCCTCATGTTTTGAACGGAAAATACATCTGCTGTGAATAATTGTTCAACACGGATTCAGTTTCAAAACGCTGGATGAATTTAGTACTAATTCTTGGTAGTAGTGCAGTGATGACTTATGAAATCAACACCCCAAAATGGTGTTTATGTGTATCTGTATGTTTGGGTCTCTGTGACATTTGTCTGGAGTATTGCTCAAGGTGCTGTAGCTGTTATTAGCATCGGCTCGATGGTTGTGAAAGTCTCTCTGATTTTTACAGTTGGAAGTCTGGTGTTTTGATACATTTGTTTTTTTCTCACATATGAAACTTTGAGTCTGGGCTCTGAGTTTCAGTAATTATTGCTCAAGGACTCAGTGAGCATTTGGTAGCATTATAAGGTGACTGCTGGCTGAAATGGAAATGCTGTAGATGCTAATGTTTACCAAAGGATCTCTGCCATTTATATAATGTTACAAAATATTTCTATTTCAAGTAAATGCTGTTCATTTGAAATTTCTAATTGATCAAAGAATTTTGAGTTTTTTTTATCACGATTTCCACAAAAATATGAATAATAAGAAGAAATCTTTCTTGAGAACCAAATCAGTATATTAAATTGATTTCTGAAGGACCATGTGAGTGATGCCTGATTGATAAATTACATTTTAAATATATATTACATTTAAATGCAGCTATTTTAAATAGTGATATTTTCACAATATCACTGTTTTTACTGTATTTTTAATCAAATAAATGCAGCCTTGCTGACCGTTCAAAGTCACTTTGAACGGTGTAAGAAACTTTTGAATGTCTGTGTGTGTAGTTTTACTTTTAACAACATATTTAAATGTCATATTTTTAGTTTAATGTTAAGTCTTCTTTCCTTAAAGTATAATACATTAATATCTCCTATATATAATAGCCTATCTCCTCTGTGTTATAGCGAGCCTTCTCTCCAGAAGGACTGAGCGAGATGTGGAACGAGATGGTGAAGGATGAAGAAATTGTCTTTGACAGAGAAGAGTCTGCCCATCCAGGTAAAAGCCTCATTACCCTTAAATCCTATTGGATTACTATATATTTTCGAAGTTGGCTTCTTTCATGATGTTTTCTAAAACTTCTGAATTTCTCAGAGGACTGTGCCGATTGCACACAAAAGAAAGATGATACAAACGATAAGGAAAAGAAGGAAGAGGAGGAGGCAGTGGCGGCTTCATCTTTCCATCACTCCATCATTGAGATGTGGGACTGGGGGAGGCAGCCAGGTGGGTGGTGATACTTATTGAGATACTCTGGGTTCAAATAGAGAGTGCTGAACTCAACATGCTGATTACTGCATCCTCTGACTGCCATCTTGCAAGGTCATCATCCCACTCATACGACATTGGCTCAATCTGCACAGGATTTCCTAAAAAAAAAAAGATAAAAAAAAAAAAAAACATGTCAAAAATACTTTCTGAAACACATTTCAAGATCTTGCACTTTGTTTCATTCAGAAATTAATTCAAAATTCTGTCATTAATTACTCACCCTCATGTTTTATTTTGAAAATTAATATTTACTGTTTAAAATAACCGCATTGCTGTTTGAGCTGCGTGCTAAAGTTGAAGAGCTGAAAGAACACCGGGAAACTGAAGTGCTTTGTTAGCAGGTTAATTAACTCAACCAAACGCATCATAATCAGATATTTATACAGCATAAACATAATATTAGCTAGTCAGGGCTCCAAGCTAACATTTGAGAGCAGTGGCACCAGGACAATTTATCATAAAGTTTATTTAATCATAAAATTGCTGTTGTTTTGTTAACAAGTGCAGTTAGTAATAAAATTACAGGTCTGTTTATTGGAAATTTAACTGTGAAGTAGTGATGTTACGTCTGACACAGACGCTCCGAAGCTTGCTTCAAACTCGAACGGTCCTTGCAATGAACCACTACTTCGGAGCTTGTATCATTACGTCACTAGTCACGTGAAAATGACGTCTGAAGCAAACACACTGGTTCACTCCTGTAGTGAACCACCTGACTGCTTTGACAGCCCAATCCAGTGTTGACAGGTTTGAAACCTGGCGGCTGTATTTCTTATAAAAGTGAAGCCAAACCATGGCAACACCGTGGGTTGTAGTAGTCGGTGTTTGGATTGGCGTTATTGTTGATGATTGGCGAGTGTTGTGATGGAGCCAGCGAGAAAGAGAAGTTGTTCCCAAGTTTGGGAACACTTTAAACTTATTTCCCCGAATAAGGTTAGTTCTTTGACATTTCTGCATACAAATATTTTTACATATGTAGTGAATGATATGGAGAAAGACAGAAACTTCAAAAACCCTCTGCTACATTATACAAGTACAACCAGTTACACAAGCACATCCTTTTCAACATACAAAAATATCAGGCCCACCAGTTAACAAGTTATAGAGTTCTGCTTCCCACAGCTAAACAAGATCAAGCTTTCACACATGATACTGCCCTGCTAAAAAGAAACTATAGAAACAATTACAGAAATTCTATTGGTTTTCATGGGAATTTTATTGGTTGTAATTGGAATTATAGTGGTCTCTCTCTCTACTGATATGTGTTGGGTTCTATTGGTGCGGGCATTAAATCCTAATGGAATATGTCCCAAACACACTACAAAAAAGAATTCTGTAGTGGTTTAAATGGTAAAAGCCAATGGTTCCTATTGGTATTTTAATAGAAACCATTAGAATTTCTGTGATGGTTTCCAACTTTTTTTAAGCTGGTCTGATCTTCTGTCCTTGTCTAAAGAAATAATTACACACACACACATCATGCTTAAAGCTGAAGTCGGCAAGTCTGGCAGATTGAGTGGACTTAGGCCAAATTTTGAATGTTTACAACTCTCATGGCCCTCCCCCACTATCAACGAATACCCTCCCACCGTGACCGAGTTCATGCTCGTCAGTGCGTGTGCACCAGATTTTCAGTGAACGCGCCTGTCTCATCAGCATCCATCAACACCATGGATTATTTGGAGGTATGCTGTCCTGGCTAATCTACAGATAGATTGCAATTGCTAACGTCATTTATACTCTAAATGAGCTTACTTGATTTCCCGCCATCACTCTTCGTTACTGTGCGAACTTCCGCGAACTTCAGGCGTGTGCATGTGATTGTAACGTGCGCGAGGGGTGGCGTGTGCCCGATCTGTGATTGACAGTCAGATCTCACACCCCCCTGCGCTCTTTGGACCCGATGATCCGGGAGCTGTGGATTTTTGCAAAATAAATAACACGCTCCAGGTGGAGTTAGAAGCTCGGGTTTTTTCTAAAACCATTTTATTTATGTTGTTCTGTCGGATTATAGTGTCGATTTCACTGAATATGATAAAAAAAATGTTGCTGACGGCAGCTTTAATGTTTTATTATCAAGGTGAACACATGAAATTCATCAGTATCTGTAAAATTCACCTACAAATGAGTTTCACAGCACTAACACTGTTTCAGCTTTGATCGCTGAACACGTAAACGCGTAATAAACGGGGTGTGATGATGGTGCGTTCTATTATAGCCAACGAACCGACTCGGACCTCGATATGATGTCACGTCCACACTTCAAGCTGTTGTAATGGTAGCACTGGCCGAGTACCAGGCGCTCCAAAATAAGTAGGCTTCACCTGCAATGTTCAGGTGTTCACTTTATTTAATTATGAAAATGTGTTCAGGTGTTCACTTTATTTAATGTTTTTCATGTTAATCTTCTGTTAGCAACGTTAGTAATTGCACTCACAACAACCGATTCCCATACCTACAGGGGACGCAGTAATACGAGTGATTATATTCGTCATTTAAAATACCAAAGCGGTTCAAAAACAATGAAAACAATTCACTTACAATTCACACAGGGCGCAGCCATCTTGAATTCCGAAACGGAATTCTTGCTCGGTGTCCTCACGGTTGTCCGACGTCCGAGAGGAGAAATCCGAGGAAAGGGGGCGTGTTGCTAGGCAACGTCTGTCTTCCGAGACGGATAAATAATAGAACGCACCATCAGTCTTGGCTGGTCCCTGGAGCGTACGATCACACCGGTGTGATTAGAACGGTCAGTGCATCACGTGATCAACTGCTAAATTTAAACGTGCTTTCGCGCGTTGGCTGGTGCTGAGCCAGAGACGGATGCACTCAGTGCTGTCATATATCACAACTATTGAGTGTTTTCAACCACATAATGTTTATTTTAGGTTTCAGACATTTAAATACACATAAGAACTAGCAAAACAATGATTTTGAGTTTGTAAAATACACACTGATGCCTATGGAAGCGGCAATAATAATCCTTTCCATTATAATAAGACGACACGTTTTACTCATATCAGATACACATTGTGTAAGTAGCTTTACATTTGACCCTATTCTTATCCCAGTTCACCGGTGGAGGAATTGACGTGTTGTAAATCCAACAGATCCGATTCTCTGAACTTAAAACAAACTAAAATGGCGCCGCCCATTGTGCATACAGCTCAACTAACGCGATCGTTATAAAGATGTTTAAACAACAAAACCCATCCACTTGCACATATTTGACAATCGGAATATCAGTGTTGCATGCTATAGCTAATACATTTGTGAATATTTTTAATAAAAAAGGAAAAATGACATAAAAGCAGATCATCATTCATTCAGCGCTGTGTCTAGGGCTGGGAATCAATTCCAAAAAGAATCGATTCCGAGGCGTTAGGAATTGAGAGTCGATTCCAAAGTTTGGAATAGATTCCATTAAGGGGAATCAACTCCTCCTTTAAGATTTTTTTTTTTAACACAAACCGCGGCCTGTAACCGATTTCATTTGTCAACACAATCACGTCACCTGTAAATAAATAAATTTCAGACTAAATAAATGGATCCAGTCGTGACACAGAGTATGAGTTAGGCCGGGTAGGATGATTCAGCATTGTGTAGGCAATCGGTGCAATGACTGACCCAATGAAATCTTTAGAATCGGTTGCTTGGTGGGGTTTGATCTTACTCGTTGTAATTTAGGAGAAGTAATAAATCTGATTTATGAAATCAATCGACAAAAATCAATCACACTCACGGGACGAAGAATGCCTCCAAGGTCAAGTCTGGGGCTACGTGAGATTCGACAAAAAAATGTAAATGCCAAATTTGCGATAAATTTAGCAAAACAACATCCCCAATTATGAAACATCTTAGGGCCGTTCACAAAAATAATATATGAAGCCATACTGTAGTATAATGTGAGATAGAAATTAATATTTAAGTAATTCAATTCAAGTTCACATAAACTTTTCCCTGTCAGTCATTCTTCAGCGTTCAAACAGCGTGTCGCGTTCGGTTACGACAGTCAACGATAAAACTCTCTCCAAGATGATTCAATGTTACTGTTATTATACTTGATCTGTAGATAAAGCTATATGGTTTCGCATAAAATGAAAAATAAAATGCCGCACTGTATTGGAGTCTTTCATAATCATATCATCATAGGCTACTTTTTGCGCAATGAAAGATTATTAATAGCCTTTTTTTGTTCTGTTCTGTCCTCTCTATCATATGTTGCTGCCTCATTAAACAGCTGTGCTATACATTTAAAAAATATCTTAACTATATATATATATATATAATTAATTTTTATCTTGTTTTTCATGAAAATCAGATTTAGTGCTACACATTGTTTTTTTATTTGTTCCCCACTAAATTGTTTTTTTTTTCACTAAATGTTCAGATTTTATACAATTATTATTTTTCTAGACTAAATTTTACTGAGGTATCCACAAATCTAGTATAATATAATTTTTGTCATAGGTTGATATATATATATATATTTTTGATTTGTTGTTTTTCTTTAGCTATAATGAAGTTGTCTGTATTAATTAGATTGTGTTTAACACACAAAAGAGTGATTATCAGTTCAACACTAGAGTTATAGAAATTCTACTTTTTGCTGGTAAAGTTGACGAGTCGTTGAACACAGCAGGAGAGAACGCTCCAGTGGAACATTATTAGCTAAGGCCATAATATTTTTGACCCATCGCTGAAGTTAAGTTTCTCTCCCCAGGTTTGCAAAAAATGCATCTCAAAATGCATCAGATTGATGCTTTAAAATATGGAATATTTAAAATTTTCTTAAACCGGAATCGGAATTGGAATCGATTCCAAAAAATCCGGAATCGAACAGCCCTAGCTGTGTCAAGTGACAAGCAATGACGCGTCACCATGGAAACATTAAAGTGACAAGTTCTAAATAACGGTCGCCTTGAAAAACTCACGCTGGGGGGTCAGTTAGATTATTTTAAATTTACGTGTGAAAGGGGTAACATATACGCCTACTTGCGTTTTATGGTTGTCAACTTTGTTGCATTACATTTACTTCATCAGGAGATGGTGCTGCAATTTCTATTTGAATGAAGCTTCGAGTAATGAACCATTTTCGACACAATTGTATCAGAAAGCAATAATGCTTCGAAACGCATCACCACAATTGTGCTTTTCAGAAACAATGACAGAATATTACAGAGCTTGTATTTTAAACCAAAGCACACACTGGAATGAATAATTCACTAAAATCGCAATGGGAGTCTCTATTCTCTCTGATGTAATCAGCCTGGCCGCCTTTACATTAGCACTGTTTTGGACTGATTGTTTGAATTAATTCCATTACTGGATCTCTGAAAACTTTCCCAGAGTTTATCGGCTTAAAATGGTCTGGTCACAAACAGAGAAGCAGAATTGGGTTAAAGGGTTAGAATGGAAATTTCCTCCTACCAAGGCTACAGGTTCTTGAAGATGCTCAGTGTGATAAACTCCCGACTTCTAAGATAATCTAACTGCGTGACATAAATTATGTTAATGACCCAGCTTCACATACTTATGTAATTTATTTGTTAAATTATTTTAACTCGTTAAGGATTTTGAAATTAATTGCACTCGTTAACGCTGACAGCACTAATCAGAACTTGTATCTGCACAAAATGAGGCGAATGCACAAGTGAACTTGAAATAATTACGTTCTAGTCAGAATGTGTTACTCCTGTTGTGGATGCGCTCTTCCTGTAACAACGTGCTGAAACACTGCAACTAAACCCAAATAATTCACAACGTTTTATTACAATAGTGTTCTGTATAATGTTGTATATATGACAGTCCCAATTAGTTATTAATGTGCATTGCTGTTTGAGCTCCGTGCGCTGAAGCTAAAGATGATCACTGGTAAACTGGAGCGCTTTACTACTGTTAAATAACCAAACGCATCCTTTGTGAGATTAATCAGATATTTATACAACATAAACATAATATTATATCTGCACAAAATGATGCAAATGCACAAGTGAACTTGAATCAAGTTACGTGCTAATCAGTACTCCTGTTGTGGAAGTGCTTTTCCATAACCTGCAGAAACACGGCAACTAAACCCAAAGAATTCGCAACATTTTATTACAATTCATTATAATGTTATGAACATGACAGTCTCAATCATAGTTATTAATGTCGTGCATTGCTGTTTGAGCTGGATGCGCTTAAGCTAAAGATGGTTACAAGTAAACTGGTACTTTTTACTACCCTGTTAATTAACTTAACCAAACATATTTATAGGATTTCTCACATAGGATGCATTTACACACACACACACACACACACACACACACACACACACACACACACACACACACACACACACACACACACACACACACACACACACACACACACACACACACACACACTAAACATAATAAATTGCATGAAAGGTTGCAAATGCACAAGTGAACTTGACTGTGCAAGTCATGAAGGTTTGCATGCGCTCTTCCCGTAACAGCACGCTAAAACACACGTTTTATTTTACAGTAGTGTTCTCATAATAATTTCATGTACTCTGTATGTTGCACTGCACGTGTTGCACTTAACTGTATTTTCCTTTGCAAAGTGATTCCAATCATATTTCAAGCAATTCAAAGCCATCATGGCGAACAGTGCGCATCTGAAGTGTCTCAGCTGGAGGAAATAATACATCTATTGTCTTTAATATATCGGCCTTATTTACTTATCGGGTCGATAACGATAACATTAAAATGCATTCCTAATTTATATGGATTATTTTTACGATCTCTTTATGAACTTTTTAAAGCTGCGTCAAAGTGGTAGTTGCGTAGACTATCAATGGAGGGAGAGAAATCTCTCAGATTTCATTACAAATATCTTCATTTGTGTTCCGAAGATTTATTTTTGGGTAAACAAAACCTATGTTAAAATGACAGACTTCTCTGTGGTGACATACAGGACATCTCCAATCATTTATTCTGCTTAAACCCCGCACCTGCAAGCCTCCATTTTTGAGTGCAACGCCCATATCTCAAAATACAATTGACAACCGACGCATAGAACCAAGTCCCCACCATACATTTTTTTGTTGATAATCCTTTACACTCGGATATACCGGTAGGTCAGTAGACAAAATGCGTTTCTTTGTGACTAAGTATTATTAACTTCGCCGTGTGACATCCTGCATCGAATCACCTGCAACGGCCCCAACTTTACACACTGTTCTCCCTCCTCAGTACATGACATCTAAGTGCAAACCCTTGAGCAGTTTCCATTGACCGTGTTTCCCCTCAGCACTGTAATGTAGGATAGCAGATGGATTTGCCACATCTAAATGTGGCCCAGTTATTCAGCCCTGTCACCACACAGGTGACCTACTCCCTCTCTGGCAGCGTGTGACCCTCCATGTGTCTCGGTTTGTGTGTGTGTTTTCTGGTTCCCCTTGGCGCGTGAGGTGTTTGGGGCTCGGGTGACTGTACATACTGTCTGTGAGGTTATTTTTACCCTATGTGTGGTTGTAGGCCCTGTGTGTTTACAGACTGGTCTAGGTGGAGCAGCTTTCTGGTGGTTGATGATAAGAACATTTTAATGGGGGCGTATGTGGCTTTCCATCAGCAGCATCACATGGTAGTAACCCCTCTGATTAATGACACATCCCACCCAAATGTCCTGCCACTCATAATAGTAAAACTAGCCTGATTGTGAAATATAGGTCTCTAACCTATAATAGGATTTCTTTAACATCCTATTGCAAAAATATTAGTCGGTGTTTATTCTGCGGTTTAAAAATATTTTATTACAACAACTAAATTTTGTTTCTGTATATTTCGTATCACAGAATAAACACTGAGCTATAACATTTAAGATATTTATGTTCTACTACTACATAGTACATACTACTGTACAAAAGTTTGGGGTATAAGATTTTATTTATTTATTTTTTTAAAGAAATTAATAGTTTTATTAATTCAAGAATGCATTAAAACAGTTTAGTGCAAAAAATGACAGTAAAGACTTTCTAAAAATGTTTTTATTTTCTTCCGTTTTAAACGTATTACTCATGTAAAATGAACTCTTTATCAGATGGCCATTTTTCTCTTATGCAGATTGATAAAGATATGGATTGTTGGAGATCTTTTTTTCTCCGTTTTCCTTTTGTAAAATAGCCCGCGTCTTTTGATCTGAATAATCTGGCCCTTGAAATAAAGCGGTTGAAGAGCCCTATCATTTCCTGTCATCTCTCCATTGTTCTAGTGATAAAAGTGGTGAGGAAAAAAGGACTTTTACTGATAATGGCACCAACTACTTCAATACTAAATCAAAATGTTGAATTGCGGGAAATGAACGGATGCTGGTGCTTTTTAGCTTCAGTGGGAACCCCTTTAAAGCGAAGCAAATTGTCAGTTATGTGGAAAGTAAAAGCATGTCCTATCTTTGTGTGACGTGCTCAAACCCTTTCTTTTCCTCGCTCCGACTCACGCTTCCATGCACTATAACGTCTTTTTGGTGCTGTATAGACTGCGCTGCTTCAGGGCCTGTGAGGGTTAGGCAGCTTGGCTTACATAAGGCTTAAGTGGATTTAAGATCGGCTATTTTAATTCACCCTGTCTGCATGTGTGAGGCTTTTATCCAGAGGCTGTGCAGAGATGAATGCATGCACATCAGTAACAACCGTCCACTGGAGCCAGGCAGACAGTTTCAGACAAGCATAATGAAGGCTTTAGATTGGAATGCACTTCAAGTGCTCATGTTGCATCAACCATTGTTATACGACATTGTTACTAGATCCAATTCTATACATGCTTGCATTTTTGTGCTTTTGTATATCACATAAGCAAAAGATATTTCTTAGTTAATTGGTACAACATTGAGATAAAAATAAGTGCTATCATGATATACAAAACTGCATTAAAATGCTAATGTCTTTTGGCGTTCATCACACAGAGACTATTTATAACCTTTGTGTAGTCAGGGATTTGAGTAGCAAAAGTTAAAAGCCCCTGTGAGCAGGTCTCTAAATACAGTTTTTAAAATATATAGTTTTGTAATGCTGTATTTTAAATAGTAGTCCAAAATATGTAAAGTATAATAGGGCTGTCAAACGATTTACATTTTTTAATCTAATTACATGATGTGCCGATTAATTAATCGTACATCAGTTTTGGCTGTCATTATTGTTTTAAATTAGAAAAGTATCAAATTGACATTAGGGAAAAAGTAGCTTCAGAAAGAAATATTTTATTTGATTAAACAGAATTTATTGCACACAAACTTTGTCTACAACGGCCATGTTTTTTTTTTTTTACAGAAGCTGCATCTGAATTGGTATTTAGATACATTTTACAGACCGTTTATTGCAGCTTAGAGGTGGCATGAATGCACTGCAATTAAAATTGCATAAATATTGCAATGAGATTAATGGGTTTAATTAATATGAAAATATGAAATTGTTTTATTTTTATGAAATTATACTCCAAGTAAGAAACTAAAACTGCCAATAGGTGCCGGTAAATGTCTTCATGGGTAAATCATTTATTCGTTCATTCACCCGATTTATTGAAAACCTGGATTCATTCAGTAATGAAACACCACTGTGTGTTGCTCGGAGACACACAACAGTTATACTGGCTGGCTTTATAGGTCATATTTTCGTTGGCAAAATTGAGCAAAAACAGACAATATTGTGTCTAAAATATAACACAATATTAACTTATTTATTGAACTGTTGTATAAAATCAATAAATCTTAACTACCGTATATATCATATGATAATAAATATGAGACAAAATCATATAGGGGCATTTTTGCCCCAATATCTTGAATCTTAGGGGCATGTTATGTAATACAATATTTGCTTATTTACTTATTCCATTATTTGTACAGAACCGGGAGAACTAAAGGACTGTCTGATGGCGCTGGTAGACGACCAACAGAAGCTGTCTTCGCAGACAGCTAAGAGTACACTCTCCTCCCTGCGCCTGAGCCAGAGACTGGTGATCCTGGAGCGCTACCTCATCTCACTCACCCACAGCATGATGGAGGAAAAGTACAAAGTGCGCTGGAAGAGTCCCCCCAGCCCTCCGCTCTCTGCCATCGATAATAAAAGGTTTGAGATAAAGAGCTTTGATTGAAGTTGGATTACCTTTTAAATTTCTCAGGTTAGAAGCAATGGAAATAATGGTCTGAAATGTTTTGTCTGTTTCCTTAGCACTCGGCCAGTCAGTAAAGGAGTGGAGGGTTTGGCCAGGGTGGGATCAAGAGCAGCGCTTTCCTTTGCCTTTGCCTTTCTCCGCCGAGCCTGGAGATCAGGTAAGCTATTTCCAGCATGGTTTGGCTGGCCATCAGGGTTACTTGCAGACAGTGCTGGGTTGTAACTGATTGCATGTAATCCAAAAATTAAGTACTTATAGATTGGATTATATTACGTTTTAAAATACTCATAATCAGAAGAATACACTTTCTTTTTTGATTGATTACATGTAATTCTGACAATGGCAGTAAATTATTCATAGTACATTTGTTCTCCCTAATAATTATTTTTTTATCTTTTAAATGTTCCTTTTCAAAAAACCCTACTGCTTATCTATACACGTGTTCAGAAGGTTTTCCGGATTTGCTCACACAGACCAGCCACTAGTCATGTGCCGATCACTGAAAAATGAGACCCACACAGCATTTGATCACTGGATTTACACACATAATTTAATTTGCTCAACAGTGCATATCTAATCAGCCTCTGAAAAGCACATTATTATTATTTGAAATATCACTCAGTGAGTCATTTAACCACATATTGCTGTTTTTAGAAGGCTTTTGCCTTTCAAATGCATTAAAATCCAGGAATTCATGTCACTTCATATTTACATGCAATGCAGGTTTTCCCCAACTTTTTTGCCAGCTGAACCTCTTTGAACTTATATTTACTTGAAATACCCCTAAGATTTTTAAAGGGCATTTTTAATTATGCCCCTTTTCACAATATGTAAAATAAGTCTCTGATGTCCTCAGAGTGTGTATATGAAGTTTTAGTTCAAAATACCCAACAGATCATTTTTTACAGCATGTTTAAATTGTCACTTTTTGGGGCTCAGAAAAACATGCTGTTTTATCCCTTTAAATGCAAATGAGCAGCTGCTGCCGGCCCAGAGGGCAGAGCCTCACGAGCTTGCGCTCTGTTAGGACAATCTATCTCACGGAATGATAATATCAAAACAGAAACTCTCAGTAGCGGTGTTCATTTCGACCCAGAGTCGGACAATAATGCCTACAGAGCCAGAGAATATATGCTGTATGGAGGTAGAACAGGTATAGTTTAGTTTAATTACGGTTATAACGTATTTGTCATCTGCTTTATATTATTTTATTACAAGCCTGCTGTAGCGGACCCCAAAAATATACTGATGAGTTCAATGAAGTTTATCATACATCGCACAAAAGATGAAGCGTTAGTTTCACCCCAGATAATCACCGTAAGCTGAATAAACACCATATAAGAAGCGCACATTAAAGTCTTATCCATTTTCTCTGCGTGCTCTCACTTTCATTACTGCTGTGATCAGTAACGTTAGGTCTATCGCTCCGGATACTGTAAGCTGGATCACGAACAGTTGGTACAGATCCATCCTTGAGTAACAACGAGAGTAAATGAAGACTGCTATGTTCATTCTTACATCCAACAACAAAACACCTCAATCGCTTAGAAGACATTTTTGTCTACCGCTGCTCCGGCGTCGAAACAATGGCGGACTGTGTTTAGCTCACTCAGGCCGGGTCTACGCTAAAACTGCAGTGTCAATCAACAGTCGTGGGCGGGGCTTGTGCAAAAGTACGTCACATTGCCCCGAATCTGAGAATGGCTTGTTTTGAGACAGTGCTTATGATTTATGGGGATTTAAAAAAAAAAGCACTGGGTGGATTTTTAATCATTATTGGGTGGCTGTGTACACACACTGCCAACACACATTTATGTTCAAAAGTGAATTTTGCATAATATGTGCCCTTTTAGTTAATAAGTTAGGTCAATAATAATAATAATAATCTTAAGTTTACGATTCTCTGATGTCGGTTAATGGTCACATGACATGCAGGTAAACAAAATATTTCATCTTTTTTTAGGTAGTGTTTTATTTTGATATTATTTATTTAATTTTTAATGTTTATGATTTAATTTATATCTTTTCATCAACTCACAATCACTCTGCAGTTCCACCATGAGCCCCAGTCTGGGAAACCCTGACGTAATGTAATATTTAATTCACTTCATGTTGTTGATGGAAAATATATTCCATTCTTTTTTTCACTTTGGATTTTTATATCAATATGGTACAAGATTATCCTTTTTAAATCAAAATGATAAACAAACTGGGTCAAAAGTTATCTAAAAGTAATTTAAAAGTAGTCAGATTATATTACTTTAAATGTGTAATGTAATGGATTATTAACTACATTTTTGGTCATACAAATTGTAGTCGTTACTGATTCCAAATTACAAGTAATCTATCTACCCAGCACTGCTTGCAGATTACCCAGCATCCATTTCCCGAAACAGGCTTTGATTATAACAACACAAAACTTTGACAAAATGTTTAAGGCATCTGTTTTTAAAATCCACTTAGAAAGAGTGGTTTAACGTAATCGGAGAATTTGCTGCTACTTTACTTCTTTCTCCTGTGTTATCTGAATCTCCCGTTGTTCTGTGGCTCTTATGAAGTTGTGTATATATACGGATCCCCTGTTCAGAAATCTTTCCATGCAATGTGAAGGTTGCAGTGGCTTTGACACTGTATTTTACTCCATGATCCCCTTGTAGGAGTCCGGTGTCATACCGATCCGCATGAGAAATGACATGCACAGACAGAATATTGTGTCCAAAAACCAGAATCCATTTCTTCAAAACCAGGTTTTTGGAAATATTGACAAGCGTTACTGAGCATGAAGCATATGAAGGCATCCCATGATATTATTGACTAATGTATCAATCTAGTGTAACACATTAGTGACTTGTAAATTTTTTATGTGGCCTACATTTACAACAGTTGTTGGGCCAAATTATTGCTCAACTTGTAGATTTTATGAGCTTAATGTGAAACACATGAAATTGTTTTTCTGTTGGGCCGGGTATTAATCTCCACTTCAGATAGGTAGTGGTGCTACAAAAGGTCAACTTTGCAGCTTAACCCAGACTTGAGGGCAAACATGAGCAGACATTTATTTTCTGCTTGTAGCTGAAACCCCGAATCTGGGCAGACGTTTACAGACCGGTAGGAGATATAGTTTTGATCCTTTTAGAGCAGTGCTGCACCATGTCCACAGGGAATGGGTGGATACAGCCTCTCTGGCCCGGGAAATAAAGCCGCCCTGAAACCTGAGCCATATGCACATTCCATTGAACAAATGAGAACTGCTATAGTTGTGAGAATATGAGAGAAAAAATAAGGATGGGAAAGGGAGGAGGCAGATGTATGAGAGAAAGGGCAAATGTTTATCCTGTGTTAAAGTTTACAGTGTTTCAGGTTTTCCAGTCTTTGGTGAAAGAGAGACATCATAAGAGAACATTTTCAGATTGTACATAGAGTTGGATGGGATCATGGTTTATAGAAGGCCTGCTTTACTATTAACTCTCCACTAGGCTTGCCGCGATAGACGGTGTTGACGGTGTTACCGGTTTTAAGCCCCATAAGCCCCATCTTTTTTAAAGTATTCGTTTTTGCTAAAATATTTATTTGAATTAATTAAAAATAATAATTATCAATTATTTAGTTCAGAAGAGAGCATACATTATAATAAAAAACTGAACTGCGCAGTGCGTGCCAAGAGCCAGTCACGTCACAGATCAGCAAGCATCAGGATTCCATTTAGCACGTGTGGAGATGAGAACGAGTCAAATTACAGAAAAGCAAGATAAATGTGTAATTTATTTAGGCCTGTTTTATTTTCTTATTCGTTAATAAACGTTTTATGGTTCTTATTTGTTTGGGCCCACAGTTTGACGATTTTCAGCCTATGCATGGGGTTATTTTTATTCGTTCGTTATGCTAATAAAAGTTCTGTCTATAAATAAAAGTTTTATTATCAGCGAGCCGAGTTTTTTTTTTTTGTCCATTCAAGCAATTGACGCTGAATTGCCAATTGACGCTTATTTCGAAAGTGAAAGTATAACGCGCACGCATTTAAAAGCTATTTAACCCCGTTTTATTATCAGCGAGCCGAGTTGTTGTTTTTTTGTCCATTCAAGCAATTGACGCTGAATTGCCAATTGACGCTTATTTCGAAAGTGAAAGTATAACGCGAACGCATTTAAAAGCTATTTAACCCCGTTTTATTATCAGCGAGCCGAGTTGTTGTTTTTTTGTCCATTCAAGCAATTGACGCTGAATTGCCAATTGACGCTTATTTCGAAAGTGAAAGTATAACGCGCACGCATTTAAAAGCTATAGAGGGAATGCGTATGACGTCACCGTCAGCTGGAGTGATTGCGGTCACGCCCACTCGAGTGGCAAAAAGACTGAGCGGCAGCATTGGTTTTCAGCGTGAATGCCGTGAAAAACACAAAAAACACATTTCTAAAATGGGAAAGAGCTTTGCGATTGACTGTACAACTACATTTCACAAGAAATCTGAGGTATATTTTTACAGACTGCCAAAACCTACAGAACAGAGAAGCAAATGGATCGATGCAATTCATAGAATCAACTTGACTCCAGAGAAAAGTGGATTTGCAGTTATCATTGAGCACGTTTACATGCACACCAGTAAGATGATAACTCGCATATATCAGCTTATTGAAATAACCAGTTTCCCGTTTACATGCAAACCAGTAACCATGACAACACAAGTAAACCGTGTTTACATGACTTTATTAATAAATCAGGCCATGACCGTGTGACGACAAAACAATCATTTGCGTATCTGACTTCATTTGTTTTGTCGGTTGATGTTAAATAAAGCTTGCAACATGTCAGCGGGAAACTTACAGCTCGTATATTCTCTCATGTCATGCAGTTACAGATGCAGCGTTTTGACTGAACCACTTCTACTTCTGCTGCACGAGATGAGAAAAAAAAGCAGAAAGCAGGTTAATGCGTTTACATAATGCGAAATCCGAGTAAGAGGCAAAAAACTACCAGTGTAAAAGAAAACGGGTTTCCCGTGTTTACATGACCACATGCGTTGTCATGACAAAAAAAAACTATAGGCTACAAGTTTTAGGGCTGGACGATATGATTATAGCCTATATATAACATTGATATGAGTGATCACCTGGATTTAGACCTACCTATATTGTATTTATATAAAGCGTTCACAGGCAAATTTGCTTCACGTATTTCCCCGGCGTCGAAATCAGGCACACAAATGTCAGGAAACACAATGGCTGCGTGTCAATATGGATCACTGGATCTTTGGTAGGCCTAAATTGTAAGGAACACTTATATCGAGTCCAAACATCGTTTGTTTTACTCTCGTTTCCGCAGTTTCCCCTATTAAATCCAGTCACGCAGCAGCTCTTTTGCCACTCAGTCCAGCTGAGGGGGCGTGTTCACGTGGGACACGTGACATCAATGCATTCCCTCTATTTAACCCCCCCGCCCCCCACGGTGACACCGGGATTACCGGTGTTGTGACACGTCGATTAACCGGTGGGAAATTTTCCTCACCGCGGCAACCCTACTCTCCACATCCAGAGCTGCATTTAAGAATAAAGCAGTGAGTGCAAAAGAGGCTGTTGACCATATTGATTTGTGTCAATTGTTTTATAATGTTAGTTTTACGGTGTTGAGACTTGTTTTAACTCTGTTGTTACAGTATATAATTAAAGCAGCAGTTTCCACTAATGTCATATTTTGTCATTCATTTGTAATGGATAATCCTATCTTTGTGTTTGTCCATTAAGCTTCAAATAGAAAGTCTAGATTTTGAAGATGCAACTTCTGTGAGTTTGACAGTGCAGACTGTCTGAAATATCTTGTAACTAAAGCACAGCATGACAATGACAGCCGTTAAAGCATTCAAATGTATACTATATAAAAAGTCTTGTATTCACACTCATGAACTGATGTGTTTGTGCCATCTCAGGTGATGATGCAGACCTGTGCAGTGAGTTACTGCAGGAGTCTCTGGACGCTCTCCGGGCTCTCCCAGAAGCCACTCTGTTTGATGAGGGCACTGTGTCGTCCGTCTGGCTGGAGGTCGTCGAGAGGGCTACCAAATTCCTCAGGTTTACTTGTCATCTTCACTATTCTCAAATGCATAAGTAGTAGTGGTATTTCCTATGTAGTAAGTTTTTGTCTAGAAAGCTTACACTACCTTCAAAAGTTTAAGGTCGTAAGATTTAAAAAATGTTTTTAAAAGAAGTTCACCAAGGCTTTGTTTATTTGATCGAAAATACATTAAAACATTGTGAAATATTATTACCAATTAAAATGTAAAACAGTTATTTTAAAATGTTATTTAGTCATGTGATGGCAATCTGAACTTTCAGCAGCCATTACTACAGTCTTCACTGTCACATGATCCTTGTGAAATCATTTCAATATGGAACTCGATTATCATCAATATTAAAAACCACTTTATATGTTTGTGGAAACCGGGATTTCACTGTGACTTTTGATCAATTTAATGCATCCTTACTGAATAAAAGTATTGAGTTATTTTTTATTTTTTTTTAATCATACTGACTCAACTTGTGAACGGTAGTCTATATAGAATTTAAGACCCCCTTTGGTGAAAGTCAAGTATTTAGCTGGGCTGATTTGTATATTCATTGATTCCTGTAAACCAAATGAAGCAAGGGTGTAGAGTTACATTCAAGATATTTTAAAGTTCCCCTGTAGTCAATATTATCCCTTAAAACTCATCTTTAGTCGCCAAAATGACTCATTTAAAAGTTTTTCCTGTAAAAAATAATTTATTCATGCCTTAAGATGGCTTGAATGTAACTCTACACCCTTGTTCATGTAGTATATTCCGATCCACGAACACGAATAAATTAGCCCCGCCTCCATATCGCCATTCAAATATAAAGAATTATCGGTATTGACCAAAATTTTCATATCGGTGCATCTCTATACGACAATTCACCATGATGTCACAACAGTAATAGACGTTCTTCCGGGTGGCAAAAGCCGAAGCGTTCCTATGGCAACGCTAGTAAATTGCTTGGAAGGGAGACCCACCGTCGACTGTAAAAATGTAATAAAAATAAAAAGTTGAATTAAATATAATGCGTTTTTTTATCATAATAACAACTGTGTTTAATGATATAAGTAAAAAATATAATAAATATGTAATATAGTAGGCCTACACATAATTAGCAAAATACTCTCTAGCTCTTTTTTTCTAGCCAAAATAACGTGCTATAGCCTATCATGGTCATTAAATGGCTTTCCTGAGGTAAATGTTGTGTGACATAATTGTTCTCCAGCTGTTATATTAACCTGTTTGCGCGGTTGAAAAACACTGATTGGCCGATATTATGTGTGAGGAATATACATTTCGGTAAGTTGCGTGAGAAAATGGATGTGTGGCGTGAGAGCGTGTGAAAAGTGAGTCTCACGGTCAATGCGTGAGAGTGGGCAGCCCTCTTTTACTTCAGGCAGTGACTGGCAATGAGTCTGATCTTAAAAAGAGACAAGTTTACTAATATTAGTCTCGAATTTCCCCGGCTGAAGATAAATGCTCTGCTATGATTTTGTAGATGGACCGTTTTGAGAATACACGAAGCAGAGTTGAAGGGCAAGCAGGGTTGGCAGCAGAAATGTAAACGTTGGATGAATCATATAATATAGGGCATCATTAAGATTTCCTACTTTTGACGACACAACGTCCACTCGCTATAACCTCCTCACCCACAAGAAATCGATACAACCCCTACACCTTTTGGTGTATATCTGGCAGCGCAACCCCAAACACAAGACGTTTTCATCATCGTTTCAACTTTGATCAACAGCAATGTGTTTAGCTATGTAACTGTTACAGTAGCCGGCTGGATCTCTTCAGTTAGTCAGTAGAAGCCACTCGCGTTCTGCCACCCGGAAGTATCTTGGTGCCTATTGTTTACAAACATTCTGAAATGCCGTATTAAAAACGCTTTGAACAACTTAGAACGTGAGTGGAGAAAGGCATATAGTTCATCATAGCATTGTAATATACAGCATAAACAAAATTCACCTGCTATATTGCTAAATGTACCAGATTTTTCATATCAACAGAAAAATATACTGGGATAAACTGGTTTCTCTTGAGACGCCCCTGCTTCGCAGCAGTTAATGATATGCTAAAGCCCGCCCAAGTGTTGACATGATTGGTTACAAGGTAGTTTGTGGTGGAAGGAACACTGGCGATTTCAAACTGCGTTTTTGAGACTGTCTTTTATTTACTGCAAGGGAAATACTCAGCAATGGTGTTGCTTAAGACAAACCATGTGCAAATTCATATTAAAAACACCACATAGACATATAAACAACATAAAAAACGTGATTTTAAGGCATGAAGAAATTTTCACAGGGAAAATGGTTTAAATATAGGCACTTTAACATAAAGTGATCTTAAATTCACACATTCCTAATGCTCATTGCAGTTTAAGCTTATTTTACTTTTATATTTTGTTTTTCAGTGACATCCATGGAAGTGCCAGTGGAAAAGCAGCCAGTGACATTCCCCTGCAGGATCAGCACTTGGCCCTGGCCATCCTGCTGGAGCTCGCAGTGCAGCGAGGAACTCTCAGGTATTCAGAGTACTGTTACATTTGACCAGGGTCCAAAATGCGTTCTGCTAAAATTCCTATAAATCTATAACTGAAAGCCGATTTTTACTCTCAGTTGGCCCTTGGCGAGAGTTAATTTTGTACCTTGCATTTGACTTTTCTTTCCGAGACTTTTGGAAGAACTGAAGAGTCTTATTTATAAATACTCTCTCTAACCTGCTTTTGCGTGTGTTTGTATTGTAGTCAGCTGCTGTCTGCGGTTCTGCTGCTTCTGAGGCTCTGGGACAGTGGAACCAGAGAGATGGATAATGAGCGCTCGACCCAAGGCACGAGCGCCCCTTTACTGCCCCTCCTGCAGCGCTTCCAGAACATCCACAGCAGTAAGGAGGAGCCTGTTCCCGAAGAGGAGATCGAGGTGAGATTGAATCACTGAATAATTTTTAGAACTGTGCTGTTCTTCCAGGTTTTACATCTCACTACTTTTGTTCTCAGATCCTTTCGGCCCCTCTGAGCCCAAACGAGAGCTTTCTGCGCTACCTTACACTGCCTCAAGATAATGACCTGGCCATTGATCTGCGGCAGACAGCTGTAGTCGTCATGGCACACTTGGACCGCCTGGCAGCCCCGTGCAGCCCCCCGCAGTGCAGCTCACCCACTTCTAATAAGGTACTGCATGGAACACACACTCAGTCATGTTCTGACATTTTATTTGCAGTGTCATACAGGAAGTAACAGTCGCTTAGCCTTTTGTCATCTACTACCTGGTTGCCTAGAGTCCCCCTTTTTGTTGTTTGTGCTGAATTAACTTCTTGGCTTTAGAGCACAATGATTCTTCAGAAAGCTCCAAGGAACTCTCATTTAAATGGGATTAGGTCCCTGTGCTGTCAGTATACTGCGCTATAATCCCTCTATGAGAAAAACAACACCATTCTTAATAGATGTCAAGCTCTTTGTCGTTCCACTTCCAGGGTACACTGCAGGAGGTGATCGGTTGGGGTCTGCTTGGATGGAAGCCTTATGCTAATGTGAATGGACCAATTCAGTGCAAAGCACTGTCGAACCTGGGCGTCACACAGATTGTCTGCTCAGAGAAGGGTTTCTTCATTCTGACCATCACTGGTGCTGTCTACACACAAAATTACAAAAGCACCACTCTAGTGAGTCTCTCATTTTGTTATCTGAATATCTTGTTTTAGTTTTTTCCCCCATACTTAACAGATTAATGTGACTGTGCGTATAACTGTTGCTGAGACAGATTTCTCTTTATGTTACTACTTTTGATTTGCACACTAAACCAATAAACCTGTGATTTCCCATCAGGGTCCTATGCTAGTCCACGCATTGTCATCTAGGAAAATAATGAAGCTTGCAGCTCATCCTGATGGGCAGCACTACTTGGCTCTTTCAGTTAATGGGGAGGTGTTCTCCTGGGGTTGTGGAGATGGAGGCAGACTGGGACATGGAGACACCACGTAAGAGCATATCAACTTCATCAAACTTTCAATAATTTCTCTCAGATCCATATATATATGTAAAAGAATTTTGGGGTCGGTGTCTTTTAAAAAAATTTCTTTTAATGCTCACCAAGACTACATTTATTTGTTCAAAATACAGTAAAATTGTCAAATTACAATTTTAAATAATAAAATATTTTGATTTATTTTAAATGGTCATTTATTCCTGTGATGGCAAAGCAAATTTTTGAGACTTCTGAAATCATTATAATATACTTTGGTGCTCATTTTTCATTATCATTTATTTGGAATAGAAATCTTTTGTAACATTATACATGTCTTTACTCTGAATTTTGATCAATTTAATTCATCTTTGCTAAATAAAATTTTTAATTTCTTTAAAACAATAACCTCAAACTTTGAAACGATATTGCAGCTTGAAAAAGCGTGTCATGTTCAAGGGGGGAAAATGTATATGAAAGTCTTCTAAGGCCAAGTGCTGGTATGTTGCAATGGACAGTGTGAAATACAGTTTAGCATTAATTATGAAAATATTTGACCATTCAGTGTTCAATAAAAATGAAGGCATCCAGAAACTAAATTACAAATATGTAATATAAAAAGCATTAATGTTATTTTTCTTTTTCATTCTTTTTTACACACATTTCTTGCGTTTCTACAGGTATTTAGAGGAACCCACCATGATTGCAGTATTCACAGGGAGGCCGACGGGGAAGCAAGTCATGCAAATTGCATGTGGCAGCACGTACAGTGCAGCGATCACCGCAGATGGAGAGCTGTATACATGGGGCCGGGGAAACTACGGCAGGCTGGGCCATGGTAATATCTACAGTATAAATCCAGCTAAGATCCACTAGAATCTTACCTCAGGACAAAGTGAAATGTTGTCTACCTTGTTTCTAAAGGCTCCAGTGAGGACCAGACAACTCCCATGCTGGTAACCGCTTTAAAGGGGCTTAAGGTGATTGATGTGGCTTGTGGAAGTGGAGATGCTCAGACCCTTGCTGTGACTGAGAATGGTATGACATCTGAAAAGAGCACTTTCAGCAGTGGTTTTAAGATGATGAGTGGATGATATGATCATATTTCTATCTCTTACTCTTTACAGGTCAGGTATGGTCATGGGGTGATGGGGACTACGGTAAACTCGGCCGTGGGGGTAGCGATGGATGTAAAACGCCAAAACTTGTGGAGAAGCTGCAGGATTTGGATATTTTGAAGGTGTGCTGCGGGAGCCAGTTCTCTTTAGCTCTTACTAAAGATGGACAGGTCTACACCTGGGGCAAAGGAGACAATCAAAGACTCGGCCACGGCACTGATGAACATGTCCGCTATCCCAAACTGCTTGACAGTCTACAAGGTACATAGCATTTTCCTTTGTTTTCAGCCATTGTTTTCACAAAATATACATTTCAGGTTTTTAAAAACCCGCGTTGGTCTCTCCAGTGCTGGAAAGCGGGTCCTAAAGCTCTTGCCTGATCATAACCCTTCTTTTTCCAGTGATAATACTCTAGTATTATAGTAATACCCCCTACTGCTGAATTATAAATTATACAAATTTTATGCTGTTAAACATTAATATAATAAAGGTTATGCCATTAATAGCAAATAGTGGATGACTTAAAGCAGTATTCCCATTCGGTTATGTTGAGATGCTCTCGTGGGTGAACGTGACCTTGGGCCTCTGCATCTTGGTCAAAACACCTCCACAAAATGTGAGTGCTGACTGTTTCATGAGGGGAGTAATCTGCTAAATCGCATTCAAGTTGGCTCCATTGTAGTATGGAATGGCCACTTTTAACAAACACTCTCCTTTCATTTTTCTCTTTTTTTACCCCCATTGAATATTGACTTGTTTCACCTGGAAGTAGTGTGCAAAATCCATTTCATGCTTAGTCATCAGTTTTCATCTGCATTTAATGTAAAGTCTGCTCTTAATATTCGTTATTTGTCAATTTAGGTAAGAGGGTGGTGGATGTAGCGGTTGGCTCTACACACTGCCTGGCCCTCACTGAAGAAGGGGAGGTGCACAGCTGGGGAAGTAATGATAAACTACAGCACTTTGACACGCTCTTCTCAAATAAGAAGCAACCTAAAGCCCTGCCGGGGCTCAACTCCAAACACATAGTGGGCATCTCCTGCGGCCCTGGCCAGGTATAACCTGTCAGTCACCAAGATGTGATGCGTTGTACTCTGCTTTTAACTGTGCATGCTTATTATCTTTCATATTTTCTGTGTGTCAGAGTTTTGCATGGTCGTCATGCTCTGAGTGGTCCGTGGGGCTCCGCGTACCATTTGTGGTGGACGTATGCACTATGACATTCGACCAGCTGGACCTGCTTCTACGGCAGGTCAGCGAGGGCATGGACGGCAGCTCTGATTGGCCACCGCCACAGGAGAAAGAATGCATGGTTGTGACTGCTCTCAACCTGCTCAGACTACAGGTCAGTCATCAAAACAGAATTTGCATTTATATATTCTAAAACAACAGTTTGAATGGTAAAGCATGTGTCCTCTTAAAGGGATAGTTTAATAATGGAAATGAAAATCATTATTATATTTAATGTATTTCAGCTCCATGCAGCCATCAGTAACCAGGTGGATCCTGAGGAGCTGGGTCTGGGCCTGGGCAGTGGGCTGCTTAATAACCTCAAGCAGACGGTGGTGACACTGGCCAGCAACGCTGGGGTGCTAAACACTGTGCAGGCGGCCGCCCAGGCCGTGCTTCAGAGTGGCTGGTCAGTGTTACTGCCCACTGCGGAGGAAAGAGCAAGAGCCCTGTCCTCACTGCTGCCCAATGCAGGTCAGTGCATGAATTCTGTGCTTGGAAAACTGCTGATACTATTGATCTTATACCTTTATCATATATATCATATTGGCTGGTTTACATCTAGAATCATCTGTTGAGATGTGCAAAAATAAATTAATTAAAAGGTGATGATTTTTTTCCAGTACAACCCGATGGTCAAAAGCATTTCTGTGTTTTTAGCATCTGCTAATGAGATGGGTGTAAGTCCTGGCCGTCGCTTCATGATCGACCTCTTGGTTAGTAGTCTGATGGCGGATGGAGGGCTGGAGTCCGCTTTGAACGCTGCCATCACAGCCGAGATCCAGGTCAGCATGTTTTATTCATTAGTCACTTCATCATTTTTTCACCCTTCATGCCTTATATCTGCAACACTCAACAGAGCACTGCCAAAAAACAGACAGAGGAGGAAACAGATTCATGAACCCTGAGGGGAAAGTGTCAAAAATAATAAACATTTTAAATAATGTAATCCGTTATCCAAAGCGTATATACACAAGGTTATTTTTGTTTAATTTGATTTTTGTTTTGACTTTCCAGTTAATTAATTTCTGTGTATCTTCAATTAGGATATTGAGGCAAAGAAGGAGGCACAGAAAGAGAAGGAGATCGATGAGCAGGAAGCCAGTGCTTCCTCGCTGCATCGGTGTCGCACCACACTGGACAAAGACCTGATCAACACCGGCATCTATGAGTCTGCCAACAAACAGAGCCTCCCATTGGTCCAGCTGGTCCAACAGTTGCTCAGGTACTGCAGAGACTTATCTGAACTTACTACTTATGGTCTATAGCCTGTAGTAACTCTTGTGTTTTTTGCTGTAGGAACATTGCTTCGCAGACTATAGCTCGTCTTAAGGATGTGGCGCGACGCATCTCAAACTGCCAAGACACGGAGCAGGTCAGCAAGGAGCGCTCGGCCTCTCTGGACCTACTGCTGCGCTTTCAGAGGCTGTTGGTCTGCAAGTTGTACGTTGGTGTCAATGGCACTGTGGGTGTGGGAGGATACAGTAAGTAGAAGAACTTAATTTTTATTTGTGCATGGCCTCATGACCAGGGGTTTTGTTATGGAACCACCATTTGAGCATCAAGTCAACAGTATCTCTCATTGTCACAGCTTTGAGTCACTCAGAGATTCTGGGAGTAGGATCTCTTTTGAAGAAGTACATGGCTTTGCTGTGCACACACATTGGGGATATCCTTCCTGTGGCCACCAGCATCGCCCTCATCAGCCATCGTCACTTTGCAGAGGTGGCACGTGTCCTTGAGGGAGATCTCACGGGTGAATATGCCATTTCATGTTAACCTATTACATAAAGCTTTAGAACAATTCTGATATTAAAGGAAAATTATATTTAAGTTCTGAATATGATTAACTGACCCTCATGTAATTCCAGAACTGTCTGCTATTATTTTTTCTTTTGAAGTCTATTTCTTTTCTTCATTTGTTCTTTCTTTTCTTCATTTGTTATTTGTCATTCTTAAATGTCATGATGTTGAACCCTTAAAAGGGAAGAGATTGTATTTGATTTTAGGGGTACAGTGTTGCAGAGAGTTTTCATTGGAAAATGTCTTGCATTTCAATCTCTTCCTTCTAAAGGGTTTGACATCATGAAAGTTGTTCAGAAGACATGCCTGAAATAAAATTTGATGTCATTAACATCCAATTTGCACTTTATTTGGTTTGAGAGTTATTAGAATTTGTACCTCACGTGAACCAAGGTTTAAAAACCATGTCCTACACCGTCTTAAATGGAGTATTTTCATTTTAAAGAGAATATTTCTTTAAAGTAGTGGGAAGTGATATTCATATTCATATTTGCCAACAATCCTGTTTTTTCATCTTCCAGGTGTTTTGCTACCAGAGTTGATCGTGTCCATTGTGCTGCTGCTGACCCATGATGCTGGCCTGATGCAGGAGACTGGATCCATTCCTCTGCTCGCTGCTCTATTGGAGCACCTGGACCGTTTTAACCATCTCGCCCCTGGTACAGAGAGAGATGATAACGAGGATCTTGCATGGCCTGGGCTCATGGGTATGAGAGAAATCCACCAATGCACTTCTTTCATAAATTAGAGAATCTGATTGTACAGTTGAGATTTAAAAATATGTTAGCAAATGAGAGTTACACTAAATGTATGGAGTGTAACACAATATTTAGTCAACTTATTAAAGATTAGAACACAGGAATGCACAGTATAGTAAATGAAGAGCAGCGATGCACAATTTTCAGCTTTCTTCAATAAACCGCTTTCTTTTCAGGTTTCTTTTTCAATGGGCCGAGCTCAAAGAACAACGAGGAAGTGTCACTTATCCGCAAAGCTGACCTGGAGAATCATAATAAAGATGGTGGCTTCTGGACTGTCATTGATGGGAAGGTCTATGATATTAAAGACTTCCAGGCTCAGACCCTAACCGGCAACAGCATCCTCGGTATAGCAAACATGTAACAAAAATGCCCGAAACCTTTTACTTGAAATTCATTTTCAAATAAGAGTTTTGTAAGTTGATTGTCATCTGTTTTTCCTCTACAGCCCAGTTTGCTGGAGACGATCCTGTGGTAGCTTTAGAGGCCGCTCTTCAGTTTGAAGACACCAGAGAGTCCATGCAAGCTTTCTGTGTGGGCCAGTACATGGAGGTCTGTCTGACTTTTGTATTCACCAGTTTCAACCCGCTTTATTCTAAGAATGTTTGGACTTCATTTTTCTTGTTCTTGTTGGTTCTATGTTTGTCCAGCCCAACCAAGAAATGGTGACAACGCCTGACCTGAGCAGTCTGTCCTCACCTCTTATAGATGCTGAGAGGAACCTGGGTCTGCTGCTGGGGCTACATGCCTCGTATCTGGCCATGAGCACCCCTCTCTCCCGCATAGAGTTAGAATGTGCCAGTGAGTTATGATATTGCAAATGTTTCAGTAGTGCTTCAAAAATCGAGATGCAAATAAAAAAATGTAAAACAAAAAAATATATATATATAACTTATAACTTTTTTAAAAACAATAAAAAAAAAAAAAAGTTTAACCTTTTTACTCCACTTTACTCTTCTACCTTTCAGAATGGCTCCAGTCATCCATTTTCTTCGGTGGTCTTCAGACGAGTCAGATCCACTATAATTATAATGAAGAGAAGGATGAGGACCACTGCAGCTCTCCAGGGACCACCACTCCAGACAAAGCCAAACTCTACTGCCGCAGAATCACTCTGAGTGATCACGCCCAGCCCTTTCTGCAAGCCATCGCTGACAACACCACCCAGGACCACACTGTGAAGGTCATACACAGGGAAAGGCTATAATTTATATGTCTCTTCATTTAGTATTATTTATTATACAGTCCATTCCCTAAGATTTTACTGTCAAATTGTTTATCAGAACAGATACTGCATCATTTGGGATGTGTTCTGATGGTTGATGTTGGATTCTTTCTGATTTGCTGCAGGACTTTTTATGCCAAATCGAGCGGTGCTGTAAACAGTATCATCTCATCACTCCCATCACTTTTCCACCGGAACATCCTGTCGAGGAAGTGGGCCGCCTGCTGCTCTGTTGCCTTCTCAAGCACCAGGACCTTGGTAACTTAGAAAGTGTTTGTTGAATTGAGGGGTGACAGCTGCTTTATATTTATAGTTTTAGTTTCTGAAATCCTATTTACTAAACTAGCACTGAAGTTTCTGTCTTATTTTGAATATTCCTTTTATTTTTTTTATTCATTAATATCAAAATCTGTTTTCTTATGCAGGTCATGTTGCCCTCTCTCTTGTTGATCAATATGCCTTGGGTGTAGACCAGGGGAAACAGAGGTCCCTCCCCAAATCTGTGATTGATGTGTGTCGAATGGTGTACCAGGCCAAGTGTTCTCTGATAAAAGTGAGCAAAGAGAAAATCTAAATAATCCAAATAAATGTATTTTATTGTACCCGTTTCCTTGGTATATTCAGCTACATATTAATACCAGGTCTAAGCTGTGTTTAAGTGTAATGTGGTATGTCACCTTGTCATTTACATCATAATGACCTCTTTGACCATCTCTTCTGTGATCTTTCCTGTGTGGTACAGACACACCAGGAGCAGGGCCGCTCTTATAAAGAGGTGTGCGCCCCAGTGATCGAGAGGCTGCGATTTCTGTTTAATGAGCTCAGGCCTGCCGTCAGTAATGACCTGTCCATTGTGTCCAAACTGAAGCTGCTGAGCTCTCAGCCTCGCTGGAAGAGGATCACACAGAAACTGATCAGAGACCGCCGCAAAAAGAGGGGTAACTAGTCTAACTGTTCATTTAAATGTTCAGTGTAAAATGTTCAGTCTGTAATTATAGCATGTTTCGCTTAATCTCTCAGTGCCTAAGAAGTCAGAGTCAGCTGATCTGGAGGAGTGTAAGAGTGAGAGGGAAGGGACCAATGAGGAGCCGCCTGCTCCTATCAACCCCACCCCTGTGGACAAGAAACAAACGGTCAAATCTGCAAAGGTTTGCCTTTTCTCTCTCTCGCTCTCTCTAATTGATTCATGCATATCTGTCAGAGATTATCACAGCTGTATCTATAAATATCTCTTTCATCGCTGCTGCTCTGACATCTAGGTGTTATTTGCATGTGTTATTTATATCTATAGTTGCTGTCCTTTTTTAATACCTTCTTCATCAACAGCATCTTGTTTAGTTGAAATTACAGTTTGGGGATTTCTATGGAATTTGTCATTTTAAAGTATTTATATATATATATAATTTTTTACTAATTTACTTTGTAGTTAATTATTGTCCTTTAATGTGTTGTTTTTGTATCCTTTTATTGAAGGGTCTCTGTGTTTATAAATCTGACATGTTTGAAATCATTTTTATTTAGCTTTTCTTTACAAATATTATTATACACTTAATTAGATTAATTAATAAGCATATCATGTAATTAAAAATGTAAGTGATTGACAGCCCTATTTATTTAAAAAAAATTTGTCCTTTAACTTGTAGCAGGATAAGTGGCAGCCTCTGCTAAACACCATAGGCAGCGTTCAGAAGTACCGCTGGTTAAGGCACAGCGTTCAGGGCTCCTTCTCTCAGTCCAGCCTCATGAGCACCATCGTTGAGTTTGCTCTGAAAGAGGAGCCACTGGACGTGGAGAAGATGAGGAAATGCCTCCTTAAACAGCTGGAGCGAGCTGAGGTCCGGCTGGAGGGAATAGACACTATGCTTAAGCTGGCATCCAAAAACTTCCTCCTGCCTTCCGTACAGTACGCCATGCTCTGTGGCTGGCAGAGGGTCATACCTGAAGGGACCAATATTGGGTAAGTGCAAAATATTATCAATGTATAGCACTTTAAGCAGACTTGTTTACATTTAATATCTGCTTTGCTTAAATAGGGAGCCTCTGGCTGACTGTCTAAAGGACGTAGATCTCATTCCTCCATTTAACCGAATGCTGCTGGAGGTGACGTTCGGTAAGCTCTATGCTTGGGCCATCCAGAACATCCGCAACATCTTGTTGGAGGCCAGTGTCAAGTTCAAGGAGCTGGGTAAGTTTTTTTAATGATAAAAAAATACAGCAAAACAGTAATATTGTTAAATATTAACATAGAAAAGTTGTTGTAAATTGTAATAATATTATATTTTAAAATGTAATTTATTCCTGTAATGGCATAGCTTAATTTTCAGCAGCCATATGATCCCTCAGAAATCATTCTAATATGCTGATTAGTGTTGTCAAAAGTACCGACTTCCGTGTTGAGCGGAATCGTAAACATCTCTGATTGCCCATTGTGCTCACATGCTCATCAAATGTGTTTGTGATTGGCTAAAATGATCAGCGATTCAAAAACATGTTGTTAACATACTTCAATGACACTCTTCACCGAGGTCTTACACAGATACACACGGGAGCGTTTGAAAGCAGGCATCTATCAGTGGACCGTTCCGCTGATAGACGCATGCTTGTGCTTTCAAACGCTCCCGCTTTCTTTCAAACACTCTTGTGTGCTCTTAAACACTCCCGTGCATTGATCACTGTAGCCAATCACAGACATATCCGATGAGCGCGTGAACACAATGGCCAATCAGAGGTGTTTACGATTCTGCTCAACAACTGCATCAAATTTCAGTACCAACTTGGTACCGAAGTCGGTACTTTTGACAATACTAATGGCGCTTTTCCACTGCATAGTACGGTACGGTTCGGTTCGGTACGGCACGCTTTGGCGCTTTTCCACTGCATAGTACGGTACGGTTCGGTTCGGTTCACTTGTGGTGCTTTTCCACTGCATGGTACGGTACGGTACGGCTCGCTTCGGCTCGCTTTAAATGGTACCTGGTCTGTTGAGGTTCCAAGCGTACCGTACCGGTACTAAAATGTGACGTAAAAACACTGCAGATCACTGATTGGTCAGACAGAATCGTCACTACCAGCATCATTGGACACTAAACCCGCTAGATTTAAATAACCAGTAGACAACAGCCAACGCGGTAGCATCTGTTTTTTAAACTTTAAAAAGAAATGGCTGAATCGTGGTCAGTGGACGAGGTGCAGACGTTCCTCTCGTTGGTTGCCGAGGAGCGGATCCAGCGAGAGCTATCACCGGACCTACAAACAGTGTAGGGACAAAATAACGATCAGTCCCACCCACTTTGAAGGGGTACTAACTGCGGTGGAAAAGCAACCGAGCTAAAGCGAACCGAACCGTGCCGTACCGAGTCGAGTCGTACCACGCAGTGGAAAAGCGAAGCGAGCCGAACCGTTCCGCGCCGAGTCGAACCGTACCGAGCCGAACCGAGCCGTACCAGCAGTGGAAAAGAGCCATAATGGTGATTTGGTGCTCAAGAAACATTTCTTTTTTATTATCAGTTGTGCTGCTTAATATGTTTGAAAACCGTAATACATTAAGTACATCATTTTTACTTTTACTTTTGAACAAATTTGTGTCCTTTCTGAATAAAAGTATTAATTTCTTAAAATAAATAAATCTTATTGACCCTGAACTTTTTGTACAGTAGAGTATTTTGTTTTTTCATTTTACTGATTGTTGTTTCCTCTCCTCCAGGTGTGCAGCCAGTGCCTCTGCAGACCATCACTAATGAGAACCCAGCAGGCCCCAGTCTGGGTACCATCCCTCAGGCACGCTTCCTGCTGGCCATGCTCCATATGCTCACTCTCAAACACGGAGCTAACAGTCTCAGCCTCCTGCTGAACTCCGGCACCCTCGCCCTCACCCAGAGTGTTCTCCGACTCATTGGTTAGCACCTTCTCTCTTTATTTTCTAGGGCAGTTGGACTCTCTTGTATAGGGTTAGATTGGTTCAGTTCTATGGGATCATGTGGGTTCTGTTCTATAGGGTTAGATAGGATTCTATTTCTAGTTTTTAGTGGGGTTTTTATTTCTTGGTATGAATGTGTAAGGCCTGCTCAATCGGTCCAACGACAGTTTCCGATAAGTGTTTAACCTTTTTAAAACTAAGGCTAAAAAAAATGTAACCTTTTATCTGACTCCATTTTATCACAATCTCAAATTTAGGTTAGAATGCAAATTAGTTATTGGTCATTTATATAATAGTTTAGCAGCACATTTGATTATTCTATTTAACTCTTTACTCTTAATATTCTCGTTCATTCGGGTGCCAAAGTCGCACAGGGTCCTCTTCTATCTTAGACAGTCGCATTCATTGCCCCCTTGGTTGTATTAAAATTAAAGTAACGTTTTCTTTATACAGAGGTCATGACCACGACTACAGATATAAGCCGACCAATATTACTTCTCTGATAGTAGCTTTGATTTGGTCATGCCATGGTTTCCCACGTACACTTAACTAAAGTAACATTACATTAAACAGAGGCAAGACTCACCCTATTTACCAAGTACACTTGAGTTAGTGCCAAATATTAGCCGGAACTCTAAAATCACAGTTGGTCTGCCCTATGCTCCACTAAAAACTGGACGGAGATTTGCGGTAACAATGGATACAACGTAATCTACTAAAGTTAATAATTTCAGAGTTATAAAGTCAGAATAAATCCAAATGTAAACAATTTATTATGTCAGGTATATGTATCATGCCAATTACATAATCAGTTCAAAGATAATCAATACAATAACATCAAATGCTCAGAGATAGAGTAATAGATGTACCTGACTCAGGAAATACATGATGCTGAGCATTACGGGCGGATTTCATTACAAATGGTCAGAGCCTCTTGTTGCATTTCTTTATATACCCAGACCAAGAAAGAAACCTAAACATATGCTAACAATGGGAATTTGCATTAATCACTGTCTCCAGAGTTTACACCTTTAGAGGGCAGGATGCTATTTGCATGAAAGACTCACCCTCCTCCATGACCTCTGTAAGCAGGATATCTCTAAACTCTTAACTTTATTGTCTTTAGGTTTATTTCTTTGGGGATGAGACCTTTGTACCAGTCGCACTGAGACATTTCAAATGATACCAAACATGTATAGTGTTGTATGATAATTGTTAATCGTCACATTAAACCATATCGATTTTTGGTGAATTTCAGGTGATCTCAGCATGAGAGAGAGAGACGAGATGGGGAAGGGAGAGACTTGTAAATTGGGAGGTGATCAACTCAAGTGTGATCGTGTCTCGAATGGGGATGTTAATATAGCAAGAGAGTTCAGATGTTAATTTCCTTTGTTTTTTCAGAGTTGCCCCTTCTTCCAGTTCTTCCAGTTTTTCCAGTCTTCCAAATGTGTCGGCATTGTGTTGTACAGGTCCCAGCTCTGACAGCAGTGAGGAGGAGCTGAGCTCTGTAGCTCATGGAGACTCTGCTACAGTTCTCGAGGAGTCCAGGAAGGAGACGACCCCCACCCCTCTCCCCGCCTCCGGCCCCGAGTTGGCAGCTATGATGAAGATCGGCACGAGGGTGATGAGAGGACCTGACTGGAAGTGGGGAGACCAGGTGTGTTAAATTTGACATGTTTGCATTTGTGTACACTTGAATTCTGAAGTGTGGATAAGACAATGGCTAGTCAGTTTCTTGTAAGTCCCTGTATGGTGTGTTTTAGGATGGCCCACCTCCAGGCCTAGGGCGTGTGATTGGGGAGTTAGGAGAAGATGGCTGGATTCGTGTCCAGTGGGATACCAGCAGCACCAATTCCTACAGGATGGGCAAAGAGGGCAAGTATGACCTTAAACTGGCCGAGCCGCCTCCTGCCACCCAACCTGCCACAGAAGACTCTGACACAGAGGACGACACAGGTTAGTGCTCCACTCTGCTCTGGCATTCCAGATAACACAACAATTACTTCCTAATCTTGGTATTTTAATGTATTCGACCTTGTCATGTTGATTTATTAATATATATATATATATACCTCTCTTGTATTCTCTTAGAAGGGGAGGTGATGGAGAAGAGTGTTCACCCTACTGCGATCATGTTGACCAGTACAGTTAATCTGTTGAAGACACTGTCACTATCCTCTGGGATTTATGCTGAGGTGATGCAGGTCGATGCCATTAGCACTCTGTGTGGTCAACTTAGGATACTGGTGGAGAGTGGAGCCAATGACAAGACTGGTAACAGTTTCTTTTTTAACTATATCAAATAATTAAATGTCACATACTTAGTAGTTCTATATATTTATAGGGTCCTTTCAACCACATTCCTACTCTTTAGGTTGTTCGTCTCACAAGCTGGTGTCCCTTGAGCAGCACAGGAGCTGGTGCACGCTTGGATTTATTCGCAGTATAGCTCTCATGCCCCAGATGTGCAGTACCTTGAGCTCCTCTGCCTGGATAAATCTGCTCATACGCATCGTGGAAGGCCACCAGTCCTTCACTGCAGTCACACTACAAAGACAGGTGCCAGCACTGTTCTGGTTTCATTCAACACTTATCATGAGTTCTGCTTGGGTTTACCTAGAGAAGGAGAGCTTTCCTTGTCTCATTACTGTAAAATTGTCATTCTACAAGTTTCATGTGTACCACAGGGTTAAAATTAGTGCATCTGAGCCGGACACATTAGTGTTGTTGACAGGATCCATTTAGTGCCATGTTTTAATCAATCTCTCCGCACCCCATTGCAGATTCTTGCCCTACGGCTTCTACAGGCAGTATTACCATCCTGGGATAAGACAGAGCGCTCACAGGATATGAAGTTTCTGGTGGAGAAACTCTTTGGGTTCCTCGGAAGCCTGCTCAGCACTTGTTCCTCAGATCTGCCCCTTCTCAGGGGTACTGCACATTTATTTGCTTTTCTCTCTGTGGTATTTTCTCACTTTTTGTGCTCGAATTCTTTGATTCGAGGTAGTGCAAAGGCTGATTTCAGGATGTCATGTTAACCTTTTAATTTTTTTTGACATTTTGCGATTTACAGAATGTTCGATGCGCAGGAGGAAGTCCCGCCCTCAAGCCTCTCTGACAGCCACTCACAGCAGTACCCTAGCAGAGGAAATAGTGGCCTTACTGCGTATACTTCATTCCCTTGGCCAATGGAATGGCCTAATAAATGAATACATTAACTCACAGCTCAGTGGTATCAGTGACGTCATGGCAGGCAGACACACTGAAGCGGTATGAGTGAAATTGATCATATTCAATAATAGTCACCCAATTATAGTGTTGTAAAATGATGACTTAAGGTGCCATATTTTGATATTGAGTCCTGGCTAGAGGATTTTGAATACTTCTATACTGTGTTTCTATCAGGCTGTGCTTGAAGACTACCTCCCCAATGCAGAAGCCCCTGCTGTGGGCAGCCTGATGGCTGTTTTGGCAGTCATTGGTGGGATTGATGGCCGCCTGCGCCTGGGTGGACCTGTTGTTCATGAGGAATATGGGGAGGGCACTGTGACTCGCATCACACCTAAAGGACGAATCACTGTTCAGTTCCACGAAATGAGGAACTGCAAAGTCTGCCTTCTCAGTCAGCTCAAGCCGGTACATATTCGCTAACATGCAGTATTACTCCCTGTTCATTCATCATGCTGGATGGTAGGGGTGTAACCATACACTCATGTCATGATTCGATATAAATTGCGATACTGAACTCACGATACAATACTATTGTGATATTTTAAGCAAAAATAAAGATTTCTTTTTATTATTATTACTTTATAATCATATTATTTTATTATTATCAGGACCCACAAATATTCCCCCGTTGCATTATTATATATTATATTCAACATTATATATAGTACTGTAGTAATGTCACTGAAACATTAACTTTCATGTCAAAATGACTATTCCCAAATGGAATGGTTAGTTCATCCAAAAATTATTTGTGCACGTCACGCAAGCATTTGAACATCCGTGTTTACTTTAGTATGCATCGTTGTAAATCTTTTCATCATATAAAGCCATTGTGTCTCTTCAGAAAACTTGGATTTAGATTAGATTATTTTTACGATGCCTTTAACTTTATGGACTTTAAATGGAGGGACCAAAATCTCTCAGGTTTCATAAAAAATATCTTCATTTGTGTTTGGAAGTTGAAAGAAAAACTTATAGGTTTGAAAAGACATCAGGGTATATATGATGACAGAATGTAAATTTTTGGGTAGATTATACCTTGTACAATAAAGCCTGGTTCACACGGCAGGATAATTAGGCCGATTTTAGCCCCGATTCACCCCTTCCGACAATCTTAAGGATGCTCCGATTATCGTAAAATAATCTGATCAGATATTCCTGTCGTGTGTGGTGTGTTAAGACTGCTCTCGTCTGCTCGGAAGGACGTCGGGACTGCTCCGATCTCAAATCGGGGATATCCAACATGTTGGATTTTTTTGGCCCGATTTCTCCTCGTGTGTGGTCTCTCCAGATGCCAGCAAGGTTTTCCAGCCCAAAACCTCGTCAAAAACCGCGAGAATGCACAAAAAAACGCCCATTGTTTTTGGGCTTGTTTTCTCGTTTAAACACATTGAAATCATGAACAAGCTTTAAAATTACCCATTGGTCCGTGTACTTTTGCGTCCATTCGTTTTTCCTTTTTTAACCCGTAATTGAAAAATGAACGGTGGTTATATTTCTAAAACGTAAAGTTGAACACCAAAATTGTAATTTGAAATGCATAGGCTATACTCCAAATGCTGCGCAAAATAATAAATATTGACGTATTTTCAGATTTTTGTTTATGACTTTTTGTCCCTAAATTAAACATTTAAAATATTCACAAATTAATATGGAAAAAATTTAGATTTTACTGGTTTTCTAAGGCCAAACGTGAAAATTATATTTTTCCCGCAGTGGTGAAGACCCGTGTCTCTGGAACCTACGAGAGCTGATTTAGGCTATAGATGATTTATAGGCTAATAATAATAAATGTGTCTGAAAAAGTAACGAGGCATTTTAATTGTTTATTAATAAACTAGCCTAGTATTTTTTAAATCGGCTGGAAATATCTCCATCTCCGCTGTAAAACGGATGCGCCTTTAGATGAGAAATTCATATGGATTACATAATCAGACTGCATTTGCTTTCGATTCGAATTTATTCGTTTAAAAATTGACATTTCAAGCTTTAGCCTACATATATAGGTAGGCTATGTTTTGTTTCAGTTCATTTTTGAGACGCAATCCAGTTACGGAGACCACGAAAGCGCGCCTGATTGTTTTCTTTTATTTTACAAAAGCACAACGTTTTCTTGTTATTGTGAGTTTACACAAATAAAAGTAGTTGCGACTGATGTATTTTTTATTTTCTGTATGACCAGAAATGATAGAGTCTTATAAGTTGTTTCCACTGTTGATAGAAAAACGCAAGTGTTCGCGCCCGCGCGCCTCTGGTCATGCAGAGCGCGCTCCACACTCGCACAAACCCTGGATATGCGTCATTTGTAATAATCTTAGCCCTGTATTATTATTATTGTCTAACCAGTATTATGACTGACGAATTGCTTTGTTCCTTTTTTGGATAAAAGCGTCTTCTAGCCAAAATGTAGGCTAATAATAATGACAATTATTATTTGCATTTATAACTAGTTCACTTAAGACAGTAATGTTTATCAAAAAATAGTTTATTAATGTTTTATTTTTATATAACTTAACGTTTTACAGTTTTTTAAATGTTTTTGTTTTAGGCTACCCTATATTAATTTTTTATATGTGAAGTATTTTATTGCTTATATTATACTGAGCTTTTTCCTCCCAAAAAATTGACTTTAAAAATACAAGTAGGCTAAATGTCGTTTTTTAGAAAATTCAAGAAATTATCCATTTTGAAAAATAAAGTTTAAACACAATGGTATCCCGTGCATCCCACACTTTTCTTTTGATAACGTTTTTTTTCGGTTAAAAACAAACTACAAACTACTCAACATCCTCTTCGTCCGCCATGATTGTTTAGGCTACTCTGAAGTCACGTTTGATTTTGAGGGATTTTGCGAGATTTTCCGTCTGACCTGGGAATGCTCGGGAGTCAAATCGGTTCGTGTGTGATGTGTTGATTTTGCCGTGTGGCTGCGCACCACACACTGTACGACCAAAACTGTTAGACCCGTGATTTTTTATCGCTGTGTGTGGGGTCTCTCAGCTTTGTAAAATCGGCCGACAATTTTAAAATCGTCCCGTGTGAACCAGCCTTAAGCTGAGTCTTGGATAAAACTAACTCTATATTGCGAATCATATATTTTACATCAGCGTTACACATCGTAGCTTTTTTATATCATGATATCTTTCTATTTCAAAAATGCTGTTGTTTTGAACTTTCTTTAAATCCTTTAAAAAATCTATCACTATTTCCACGAAAATATTCAAATACACAAAATCAGCATATTAGTATAATTTCTGAAGGATCATTTGACACTGAAAATTCCAGTATTGGCTGCTGAAAGTTCAGCTTTGCCATCACAGGAATAAATTATTTTTTATAAAATATTAAAATAGTAAACATTTATTTGAAATTGTAATATGTAATATTTCACAATATTACTGTTTTACTACATCTAAATATGCTGACTTGGTGAGCGTAAGAGCGTAATCTTTCAGACCCCAAACCTTTGAATGGTAGTGTAAAATGTGCACAATATACACACAGTACTATATATTGAAGATATGTTAAGGGCAGTATGTTTACAAACATGACCATCATTTATCTCTGTAGTTGATGTTTATTTTCTGTTTGTAAATCTTTGCAGATTCACATGGTTCCATTCAGTGTTCAAAACCTGCCCTTCAGTGAGCCCATGCTGACTGTGTGGGCGAAACTAGTCAACTTGGCTGGAAGCAAGCTGGAAAAACAACGCATGAAGAAATCCCTTAGCAGAGGACTTACAGGTACAGCACATGCAGTAGTCATGAATCAAATGGTATTCTCATGTGATCTAATATTATTAATCCTGGGTATTCGTACGCTGCCATTATACACTGTACATTCCTAAACCTTGGGCTAACATCCTTATTTGCATATTTGCAGTGTCTGTGTCACTTATTGGACGAACGTGGCACGTTGATATGCTTACATTAGGGCTCAAGCATTGTGCAACCTCATATTATATTTAGCAGAATTTGCAGACTGTAGGTTTATCCTGAATGGACTTTTCATACTATAAAGATAAGAATTAAACGGTCTCTTCTAAACTCTAAACTCGTGTTTTGTGTCCCCGTTCGACATTTTTCCCCTCAAGTGCTAAAACTACTGTTTATTCCAGGGGGTGTGTTTCCGTTACTGTCCCAAAGCATGTGAATGAGGCACCCGATTGGTTGTCTGTTGCTAAGCATCTAGGTGTAACATTCTAACACTGCACCGTTTCACCCCAAAAAAAGCTGTGCCAACCCCACTTCTAAAATATAAGTGTGAATCATTCCTTTACCGGGGGTTTAAAGCAGTGTTTAGAATGACAATAACCTGGGGTTAAGCGCAGTGTGAAAAGCCCTTATATGAATTTGCTAATCTTTATCCATGCAGAAGCATCTGTTCCACTCAAACTAATCCATGTATGAAAATATATATTCTGGTTTATGTGTTTGTCATTGCAGCTGATCAGGTGGATGTGCATTTGCTGCGGTGTCAGCAGCTCAGGCTGTACATCCTGAAGGCAGCACGGGCTCTGCTCTCCCACCAGGACAAACTCCGACAGATCCTTTCTCAGCCAGCCGTCATAGACGTCAGCCCCAATCCTACAGGTGCAATGATCCTTTCATGCTGTGGTGCCATAAGTGTTCCAATTTTTATCACTCAAAGCTGGACCACCAATCAGACAATGAAGTTCCAATGGAGATTAAATATCTATAAACTGACTGTAATGTAGTGGCAATGATTCAAACAGAATTGTGTCAGGTTATATCACATCACTACCCCCTGGTGGTCATGTGTAGATTTTCTTTTAAATCTGATTTTAAATATGGTGCCTATAGAGTGGTGCAGGGATTGTCAAAACCCGGAAGACTAATTCTCCAGTGGTTCCCTCGAGGTATTCCTATGGGTATTTATAATGGGGTTTTTCATTTTATGAGTAAAATAAGGTCTGTGGTTAACATAACTCGATGACACTTGGACATTTTGTTATACAACGTAAACTGCACACACTTAAACCCCAAACGTTCTTATCTAGTTTAAATTGATGTATTAATTAATTAATTAAAACACTTAAAAAAAAAAAACAGCTTCAAAATTCAAATTTTTTATTTGGCTGTGTAATTAACATTGTAGAGCAAAATGTCCAAGTTATTTTTACCACAGACCTTATTTTACCCATAAATTGGAAAACCCCATTATAAAAAGCCATAGGAAAATCTTGAGGGAACCACTAGCAAATTATTCTTCTGGGTTTTGTCGTCATCCCTGCACCACTCTATTTTGACTAAGGTCTTTATGTTGCTCACAGTAACAGCAGTCTATTTACAACAACAGTCTATTTGTAAATGGCAATAGTGTGATGTGCTTATGTAATATTTTGTGTGTTTGTATTCAGAGGATCAGTGTGTGTCGTCTCCTGATGTGGGAGAGTTGTCTCCTGAGGGTCCTCAGCCTCCCCTCATCCTCCTGCAGCAGCTGCTGTCAGCATCCACTCAACCTTCTCCCATCAAAGCCATATTCCACCGCCAGGAGCTAGAGGTCAGAGACCACATTTACACGTCCTTGACATCTGTATTAAATACATGTGAAATTACATGCTTTGACATCCTTTTGCTTTTTAATATAATATGTTTTTTATTATCATTGTACAATATTTTTATTCAGCAAGGGTCCAATAACTTGATCAAAAGTGACTATTTTTCATCAAGTATTTTTTTTTTTATATACATTTCGCTAACACTTTATTTTACAGTGTCTTTTTACACGTCACATTGCAGTTACAGTAGTAATAACTACAAATTATGCATAATTGCATGCAACTAACTCTTAACAACCTTAATCCTACTCCTATGGTAGGGACATGTAGATAATTATTACTCTGTAATTTTAAGGTGTAATTATACATTTAAGTACTCTGTACCTGGACACCTTAAAATAAAGTGTAACCTAGATTTCATTGCATGAATTGTTATTCATGTTATATTGGCCTGTATCAGCTTTATATCAGCTATTGGCATCGGCCTTCAAAAAAAATCCATATCTGTCAACCACTACAATAAATGTATAAAAACAGTTAGTTATTTAAAAAATTTCACACTATTACTGTTTTTACTGTATTTTGGATCAACAAAATGCAGATTTGGTGAGCGTAAAAGTTTTTTTTTTTTTTTTTTTTTTTTGAAAGCATTAAAAATCTTACCAACTTTTTAACTATATTATAAAATAATGTTACTTTTTTATTAAATATTCTTTGTGGTAATGTTGTTTCATATGTTCATATGTGAGCTTTCAGTTACCAGCTCTGAATTTCGAACGTCTTCACTCAGTTTTTGTGTGTATGTGTGTTCAGGCAGCAGCTCTGGCTGTGTGTCAGTACCTGGCGGTTGAATCCACACACCCATCCTCCCCTCTGTTTGAGGACAGTAGCTCTAGTGAGGCCACAACACCGGTCACTGTGCAGCATATGCGCCCACCCAAGCAGAAGAAACACAAGACCTCACCTGTGCCCCCTGCTCCCATCGTCCTGCAGCTGATGGAGATGGGCTTTCAGAGGAAAAACATTGAGTTTGCCCTTAAATCACTTTCTGGAACCACAGGCGCTTCTGGAGTGCCAGGTAATGCTCCAATAGCTCACGTTTTTTAAATGTTAAATTGTCGTGTGTTGTATTCAGCGTTAGCACTACATGCCTGGGTACTCAAAGTTTCTTCTCTTGCATTTCTTGCATAGTACCATATAAATGCCATGGTTAGTTGTAAACTAGCATGATGGTTATACTGTTGTTTTTCACGTATCTTGGAGTACATACCATGTCATATGAATATTGTAATCATACAGTACCATATATCTCTGTCATGCTATCCCCACAGATTTTTTTTTAAGAATACATAGAGAATTTTTTGCTAGCAACTCATTCATGATTGCTTGGGTTTAAGGTGTAGAGGCATTGGTGGGCTGGTTGTTGGACCATCCAGATGTTCACATTACAGATCTGTCAGATGCAGATACTGTATCAGATGAATACTCTGATGAAGAGGTGCTGGAAGAGCTAGAGGAGCCTGAGCCAGCTTTCCCTGTGGTGTGTATAATTGCATGTACACACAAACGGATCCGTCACACACCAGACATGAGGTGTAGATTCACTTGTAGTCATTTATTGTGTGACTAACGGTCTTTCTTTTGCATGTCAGCCGCCTGGGGTTGTGGTAACTGAGAGTCAGACGTTTAAAAAGAGGTTGGATTTTCAGAGCAACGATGATTACGCTGTATATGTGAGAGAGAACATTCAGGTGAGGAGCTACACCTCTGTACTAACTGGTTTGCATATGCACTTTAAAAATGGGTATTTTGGGTTTCCTGTAAAAGTATTGAAATATCCTTAAAATGAGATGAATGTACTTGAGAGGCAACCTGATTGAACTGGGTGTGTTGCAGGTGGGCATGATGGTGCGTTGCTGCAGGACGTATGAGGAAGTATATGAGGGAGATGTGGGTAAAGTGATAAAGCTGGACAGAGACGGCCTACATGATCTGAATGTGCAGTGTGACTGGCAGCAAAAAGGAGGAACTTACTGGGTCCGTTACATCCACACTGAGCTGTTGGGTAATACTCTTTCTGTTCTGCTCTGCTCTTACACACTATAACGCAGCTTTAAAATAAAATAAAAATAAAAAATCGAATGACAAAAAATTTTTATATTAGGACTTCAACAGCCCATATAAAGTGGATTTAGGTCATTATTTTATTTATTTTTTAAATAAATAAATGTAATTCTGTATTTCCCAGGATTTCCTCCTCAGAGTTCTCCGTCTCATATAAAGATTGGTGATAAAGTGCGAGTTAAGCCCTCGGTCACAACGCCAAAGTATAAGTGGGGATCTGTCACTCACAGGAGTGTGGGTGTGGTCAAAGGTAACATAATTGTTTAAACTATTTCTCTTCACGGCTTTAGAGGAACAATTCACCCCTAAAATGAGCAGCTCATCCTCATGTTGTTCAAAACCTGTTTGTTTCCTATTATTGAGTGAAATATCCCGTTTTGTATTTAGCCATTTGTTTTGCTATATATCTCAAACCTGTAGAACATGGTTGTCTATTCAGCTATAATTGAGAACTGTTGTATTTGGGTTTCATCATAGTGTGTAACATTTGTGTCCAGCCTTCAGTGCCAATGGGAAGGATGTGATAGTGGACTTTCCTCAGCAGTCACACTGGACTGGACTGCTGTCAGAGATGGAGCTTGTGCCCAGCATACATCCTGGTGTCAGGTACACAGAGTACAAGTGGAAATCACGTCAAGACAATGACTAAATAAACAACTAATAAACATTTTCTTAACTTTCACTTTCCTTAGGTGTGACGGATGTCAGATGTTCCCTATAAATGGCCCCAGGTTTAAGTGTCGGAGCTGTGATGACTTTGACTTTTGTGAGAGCTGCTTCAAGACCCGTAAACACAACCCTAGACATTCATTCGGACGAATAAATGAACCAGGTCTGAGAGAATTCTGTGTATTATTTAATAGCTACTTTATGTAGTGTAGCATTACACCAGTGTACATTTCTTCATGGGATGTAACCAGTCTGGTTTGACCTAATCATTTCTCTTTAGGTCAGTCACCCACCTTCAGTGGGCGCTCAGGAAAGCAGCTGAAGAGACATCACAGCAGTCAGCGTGGGATGCTGATTGACGAGTGGTCCAGGGTGGTGAAGAACCTCAGCGTGTCGTCCTCTGTTAACCAGGCGTCGAGGCTCATAGACTCTGGAGAGCAGTGCTGGCAGTCCTCAGGCTCTCAGGGCAAGGTCTGTCATTATAGGCATACACTTCCATTCAAAAGTTTGGGGTCAGTAAGATATGTTTTGAAAAAATGTATACTTACAATTGAGTAAAACAACAATTTAGTTATAGCAAAGACATTAATAATATTTTGAAGCACAACTGTTTTCAACAGATAATAATAAGAAATGTTTCTTTAGCATCAAATCAGCATATTAGAATGATTTCTGAAAGATCATGTGTGTTCTTCAATGCCATCATAGGAATACAGTACATTTTAAAATATATTACATTAGAAAAGTTATTTTCAAATTGTTCAGTATTATGGTTTCACAATATTACTTATTAGTTTTACTGTGTTTGATTAAATTCAGCCTTGCTGAGCATAAGAGATTTTAAAACAATATCAAATATATTATTGACCCCAATCTTTTGAATGATTTTGAGTGTTCATTTGCTTGTTCGCATATCAGAGATAAATTGGAAACACTTGGTTGTAAGTTTGAGGAAAGAAAATCTGTTATGTGTTTTTGTTTTGCTGGTTTTCAATAGCACTGGATCAGGTTGGAGCTATTCCCAGATATCTTGGTCCACAGACTGAAAATGATTGTAGATCCAGCTGACAGCAGCTACATGCCTTCACTGGTGGTGGTGTCAGGTAAAAAACCATGAAGCTTTTTCAGGTCAGTCATAGTCTAACCTTTTATGGGTGACCTGATTTAACTGTGTTTGTCCTCCAGGTGGAAGCTCGCTCAATAACTTGATCGAGCTGAAGACCATCAACATCAATCCCACAGACACCGCGGTCTCACTACTCAATGACTGCACAGATGTTGGTTTGAATTTCCTCACAAACATCTTTTCTTCAGGGCTGTTTTTTTAGGAATGCTGAGCACTCTTGTATTTGTGTGTTCAGTATCACAGGTACATCGAGATTGCCATAAAACAGTGCCGGAGCTCAGGGATTGACTGTAAGATCCATGGTTTGAGCATTGTGGGTCGAGTCCGTGCAGAGGATGAAGATCTGGCTACTGTGCCTTTCCTGGCATCTGACAATGAGGAAGAGGAGGATGAGAAGACAGCGACTGGAAGGTGTGTGATAAAGATGGTTTAGTATAGAAGAAAACACATGATCTGGTATGTCATTGAGTTTCTTTTTTCGACCTCTCTTTGCAGTCTGACTCGAAAGAGGTTGTCAGGGCTGGAGTCTGCTGCCACCATCAGAACTAAAGTCTTTGTCTGGGGTCTCAACGATAAGGACCAGCTTGGAGGACTTAAGGGGTCCAAGGTCAGTAATGTGTAAATGCATTCAGTTTTGTAGTTTTTTATTTATTTAAAAATATATATTTTACATTTATTTTTAATGTATTAAATGCATTCTATTTTATTTACTTTTTAAAAATTAATTTGATTAAAAACAATATTTTTGCTTGAATGCTTGATAGCATAACTTTTTTAGCTATAGCTTGCATTGACAAATCTTATTGTCTTGCTCTCTCTCTCAGATCAAAGTCCCATCATTCTCAGAGACGCTGTCTGCTCTGAATGTAGTGCAGGTTGCTGGAGGCTCTAAAAGTCTTTTTGCTGGTGAGTTGTTTAAAAATAACAAAAGCAGGCCTTTGTTCTTTTGCTTACTGCTTAATAAAATGTGAGATTTTTATGGGGAAAAAATGTGAGGCTTGTGTATTATACTGCGGTTACTGTCATTTTGCAAAGGGACACTCAATGCCCTGTTACAAATGTGTCTTTCTGGTTGTATTTTAAATCTGAAATGATTTGCCATAGCATTGGATGTTTATAATTGTATTACATTTTTACTCCTTTAACCAAAATAATGATTGATTCTTTGTCTTTCCAGTGACTGCTGAAGGTAAAGTATATGCCTGTGGAGAGGCCACTAACGGAAGACTTGGTTTAGGACTGTCCAGTGGAACCATCCCTATACCAAGACAGATATCTGCCCTCAGCAACTATGTGGTCAAAAAGGTTGCTGTACATTCAGGTATGCCCTTTTTCTGTTTTAAAGGGTACCTATTATGATAATTTATTATACCGTGTTGAAAATGCAAGTGAATAGAAATGCATTTTTGAGTACACGTTAAAACATGTTTTCATGCATGTATCTTTAAATGCAAATGAGTTACTGTTCCCCGCCCCATCCAGAATAGTGCTGTGCCTTATGCCTCGGATACTGTCAAAAACGCACAAAACATCTTTTCACGTGTAATTGCTCTTAAACTGTGTTTGACATAACCTTGTGTGTATTTGACAAAGTTCACATAAAAACAGTCGGTTATGTCTATGAATGTACAGTAAGCAGATCTAATATACACATGCAAATTTTTTTCCCAGCTGTGTATTAAATTGACAGCAGCGTAATATACATTACCTACAACTATATCTAACTGCTGAACCTTAGAACCACATGTCACAGCAGTCTGAGGCCAATGATGCTATAAGCTCCAACCCAACACCAGTCTGGGGCTGCTGGCCTTAGACTGCTGTCCTCACATTGCTGTGACGTGTGGCTCTGCAGTTCTAGAGTTGGTTATTGGTACCTACTGCTATATGCTGTTAATATGAATCAAACAACAAAAGAAAAACAGAAAATAAATCACTGCTCTTGATTGAACAACTTTAGTACATTTCTTTGTTAAATGCTCTGGTGAGGAGATAAACATGGTGGACTGTGTGCAGCTCACTGATGGGAGGAGCTAAGCTAATAGGGCAGATTCTGTCACCAGTCGTGGACTGGGTCTGTTCCAATGTGATGTCACATTGGAGTACATTCCTGAACAGCTCATTATAAAACACTGTTTCAGATTTATGGGGAAAATCACAAACTGAGTGGATAGATTTTTACCACAATAGGGTGTTTGTGTACACAGTTATGTTCAAAAACAATGTTAAAGTGAATTTTGCATAATAGATCCCCTTTAAGGAAAGCATCCCATGTTGTCAGAACTTGTTTAAGGTGGATTAACTGTGTGTGCAGGTGGAAGGCATGCCATGGCGTTGACTGTGGATGGGAAAGTGTTCTCTTGGGGTGAAGGAGATGATGGCAAGCTTGGGCACTTCAGCCGAATGTAGGTTATTTGCACCTTCTCCCACAGTAATGTAGAACATGTAGAAGATTTCTTGAGGGATCTGATGAGAATATTTTTTTTAACCAGGAACTGTGATAAGCCACGGCTAATTGAGGCATTGAAAACCAAGCGCATCCGAGACATCGCCTGTGGCAGCTCTCACAGTGCTGCCATCACCTCCAGTGGAGAATTGTACAGCTGGGGTCTGGGTGAATATGGCCGCCTGGGCCACGGGGACAACACCACTCAGCTCAGACCCAAACTGGTATTTCTTTTACTTACCTCAGTAAACTCAGACCTCTCGGTTCAGAACTGCAGGGTTCCAGTATATTTTGTAGAGCAATCCCTATAAGGTGGAGGTGCTGTACAACTTTGAAAATTGATTTGGAGAAATTCACAATAATGCTTAATACGTCGGCTCCAAAAGTCCAAAAAAATCAAGCTTTTGAGCCAATTTAATCATTTTTTGCACAGTGCCCTTTAACTGGCCCAAACATACAGTTTTAAGTGCGATTTTGAGCTAAAGAAATACATTTTATAATGTCATTATTATAGGATTTTTTTTTTATATGCAGTTAAAACTGAATCTTGACAGTTTTGGAGATTTCTGTCTTTCCCTATTCATGTAAGTAGGAGCTGTACTTGTATGCCTGTTGCATACTTAGAAAACAACTATCAAATTGCCAAGATGACCGTAGAGTGAACTGACTTGTTTTAAAGAGACTTTGCTTATGCTCTTTGTACAACAGTTGAAATTAAACTTGATGCTGTTTAGTACAGTGTGTCCCTGATGGCAGTAGATCAAACTCTGTATCTGGTTCGCAGGTCAAGGTGCTTTTAGGGCATCGTGTTGTCCAGGTGGCTTGTGGAAGTCGAGATGCCCAGACTCTTGCCCTGACAGATGAAGGTAGATACCTGCATTTTGTTTTGTAGATTTCATTTAAGGCGGTTTTGGTTTGTGTGTGTGTGTGCTCGACCTTAATGCTCTGCCATGACACTTTAAGCTTGATGTCGCTGGTCCTGGCCAGTAGAGGGTGCAACAGGATAAGAAATCTTGGAAGTCCAGTTTAAACCTCTGTGTCTAAACAGTTAAAATGACAAATAAATGCATTCTCCGAGAGCGCTCCACAATATGTTTGATTATACTATCTAGATGCTCAAAACTGATCGGGAGAATGCACGTTTTAAACAGCTTATTGTACACGTAAGTTACACGCCGTTCTAAACTAATGGGTGCTGTATTGTAACACGCACACATACAGAAGCTCGCGCATCACGTGCACACTGCACGCACAGAGAATCATTCAGTTGCGCAGAAATGTATTGTCAACACTTTAGTCACATAAATGTAGACTTAAAAACACACACTAGGGGTTGAACGATTTCAGATTTGTATATATATATATATATATATATATATACATATATATACATAGCTGAAGTTATATAAATGTATGTTTTGTAGGAATGGTGTTCTCATGGGGAGATGGAGACTTTGGGAAGCTGGGCCGTGGCGGCAGTGAAGGCTGTAACATTCCTCAGAACATTGAGCGTCTGAATGGGCAGGGAGTGTGTCAGATCGAATGTGGAGCTCAATTCTCCCTCGCCCTCACCAAATCTGGAGTTGTGTGGACCTGGTATGAATTTAAAAGGATATCTGGATTTTTCAGAGGCATTACAATACAATACAGTTCATGATTTAGGAGTTAGCTTTTTTCCAAGTAATCCCTAACATGATTGAAATTTCATGTTGTTGCATTGTGCAGGGGTAAGGGCGATTACTTCAGACTGGGTCACGGCACAGATGTTCACGTGCGCAAACCCCAGATGGTTGAAGGACTGAGGGGGAAGAAGATTGTTCATGTCGCTGTAGGGGCTCTGCACTGCTTGGCTGTCACAGACACTGGACAGGTGGGCCAACGAGTTAGTTTTTTGCACAAGAACTCCTTCCTTTTACTTTGCATCATGAGTCGTTTAGTGTGCCAAAATAAAAATAAAACAAGCATAGTAAACAACTCTCCTTGTATTGATGAAAAGCTATTTCGCTTCAGTGTAAGATGAAATGTTGTTTTGGTAGGTGTACGCGTGGGGGGATAATGACCATGGGCAGCAGGGGAACGGCACAACCACGGTCAACAGGAAGCCTACGCTGGTGCAGGGTCTAGAGGGGCAAAAAATTACCCGTGTGGCCTGCGGCTCCTCTCACAGCGTGGCCTGGACCACCGTAGATGTCACCACACCCTCCGTCCATGAGCCGGTCCTCTTCCAGACTGCCAGGGACTCTCTTGGAGCCTCTTATCTTGGTAAAATCTTCCCTATGTCCATTACCTTGATGTCACTGTGTGCCTGTTTCTTAAAATCTAAGATTTTGTGGGTGATTTTCTTTCTTTTTCTCTTTAATAGGTGTGCCATCAGACAGTGACCCATCTTTACTGAGTAATAAGCTGAATGGTGTAAGCAGTGTGAAGCCCAATAGGCCATCTCTGGCAAAGATCCTGCTCTCTCTGGATGGTAATCTGGCCAAACAGCAGGCCCTTTCCCATGTGCTCTCATCCCTGCAGATCATGTATGCCAGGTATGACTTTAATGGCTTCAGAACTACTTTGCTTCCCAGGTTGATTTGTTTTTCTGTTCCATAAAATAAAACAAAAGCTTTGGCATCACTTAATCACTCTCATGTCATTTGAAATCCGTAGGGATGCAGTGGTGGGAGCATTGATGCCTGCCTGTATGATTCCATTGGAATGTCCCTCCAGCTCTCCGGTGCCACCCTCAGATTGTTCATCAGCTTCCAGCCCCTGTGAGGCTGAGGGTCCAGCCCTGCTCTCAGAGACTGAGGAGAGGGTCAGTCCGCACCCCTGGATGGACAGCAAACGAGGAGAGGTGAAGAATTCTGCCTGTGCACGACTGCATCGTTCACGTTTGTTTATTTAATGCTTAATTTTCAGTATCCCATAATGTTCAACTTCTTTCGCCTATTTTTTACATTTATTTTCCTTTTTACGAAACAATCATTTAAATGAAAAAAAAAAAAAAAGTACTTGATCTGCATTTAAATGCGCATTCTGTCATATGTTATTGTGTGGTCTAGGTGACCACATCTGAGGATGCCACTACCCCGTCTTCAGCGGTGACCCCTGCCTCTGCCTCATCTCGGCCCTTCATCCCGGTCACAGATGACCCTGGTGCTGCCAGCATCATTGCTGAGACTATGACCAAAACCAAGGAGGTCAGTCACAAATGCTGTCTTGCAATACTTTTTATAAATTCAAACAAATAGATTATATTTTTTTGTTTAATTTATTTTTAATTTTAATTTTAAATAGATTTTAATTGGTTTGATTTTTGTTTTAATTGATTGGTTTAAATGTTCCTGTTGATCATACTTTTTAGATGTTTGTTCCTGATCATTAAAATGAAATGCATGCATTTTAAGTCTGTTTGAAAATTGGATTACATTTGTATGTTGTGCCACAATCCTTTATATAAACTGAAGTTAGCCTGGTTTGATTTATTGAAACAGGACTCTGAGAGTCAGAGTAAAGCAGTGGGCCCAGAGCCACAATATCTGGATGAGTTCACCGGTCTGCTGGTTCCCGATGACACACGTGTGATGGTGGACCTGTTGAAACTGGCCGTGTCTCTGCGCTCAGGTGATAAAGGCAAGGAAGTGCTGTCTGCTGTGCTATCTGGCATGGGTGCAGCCTTCACACAGGTAAAAAAAAAAACAGCTCTTCAGTTACTCACTACACGTTTTCCTAACTAAATTGGAATAATTTCATCTTTTTGGGCTTTGTGTACTCATATCTGAATGTATTTGTTTGCACGCAGGTGGCAGATATGTTGCTGGAACTGTGTGTGACTGAGTTAGAAGATGTGGCTACAGACTCTCAAAGTGGACGACTGTCCTCGCAGCCTGTGGTGGTGGAGAGCAGTCACCCGTACACTGACGACACTTCCACCAGTGGAACTGTGAAAATACCAGGTCACCTTATGCTTTTCTGTTTATGTAGCATCCTTCATTATGTAGCAGCCATTACAACCTCATTAGTGGTGCTTGCCAAAGTGTCATTATTACTCAATTGAACACATCCCTAAAACTAATTGTTAAACTTTGTCATAATTAAGCAAAGCAATGTTTTTCAGAAAATGTAAAGCTATAGTAATTTAATGAGGATGTGAATGAACCAACCGATTATTATTTAATGATAAATACAGTAAAAATAATATTGTGAAATTATTACAATTTAAAATTTTCCATTTAAATATTATCTATTCAGCAGTCATTACTCCAGTCTTCAGTGTCACATGATCCTTCAGAAATCATTTTAATATGCTGATTTGATGCACAAGAAACATTTCTTATTATTATTATCAATGTAAAAAAAAAAAACTTCATGCTGCATAATTGTTTGTGGAAAGCATGATACATTATTTTCAGGATCCTTTGAATAGAAAGTTCAAAAGAACAGCATTTATTTGTTTGTTTTTGTTTTTTAAAGTCTTAATGACTTTTATTCAGCAAGGATGCATTAAATTGATCAAAAGTGCAGCAATTTCTGACCCCAGAACTTTCGAATTGTGTAGATGCTCTGTGGAAAATAATGAATAATTTAAAATATTCAAATCTCATAAGAAATCTTATTTAAATGGTTTCAGGTGCTGAAGGTTTGAGGGTAGAGTTTGATCGCCAGTGTTCAACAGAAAGGAGACATGACCCACTTACCATCATGGACGGAGCCAATAGGATTGTGTCTGTTCGATCAGGTGACATTTCTTTTGTCTTTTTATTGAAACACCTGTCAAAAAGTTGTTGCTTGAACCTTTACTTGTCTTTACCCCTTCAGGCCGTGAGTGGTCCGATTGGTCCAGTGAATTGAGGATTCCAGGAGATGAGCTCAAATGGAAGTTCACTAGTGACGGCTCTGTTAATGGCTGGGGCTGGCGCTTCACTGTCTATCCCATCATGCCGGCTGCTGGTATCAGTTTAATATGACCTCTCTTCATTTTTCATGCTTCATTTTCTGAAGTGCTTGACCTTTTATTGAATTACTCGCAGGTCCTAAAGACCTCCTATCAGACCGTTGCATTCTGTCTTGCCCTTCGATGGATCTAGTAACATGTCTGCTAGACTTTCGCCTGAACTTTGCTTCAAATCGCAGCATCGTGCCGAGGTTGGCAGCTTCACTTGCTGCTTGTGCCCAGCTCAGCGCATTGGGTAAGAGAAAAACCATTTGAAAGAAGCGTTTACAGTTTTTATATTATCATACACACAAACTCGTCTCATTTTGGCGAAGTTTTCCTTTCTGACATTGAAATAGGCCATTCATAATGAAAATCCAAGTTGTTTATTTTTTTGTAAAAAAAAAAAATCTATGGAGGGAACTGACTGTTTTCAAAAATGTTGTGATGGTATTTTGTGCCACCTATTGACGAATGCGAAAAAATACAAATTGATTTAATTAAATAATTATCTAATTAAATATAGTATATAAATATAAAAAAAAATTTACAATCATTTTATGGTTTAGGGTGTTATATACATTGCAGATATACGCACTGAATATAAACCCAACAGATCACTCAGATCATTAGGATCACATCAGCTAGAAATACCAAGGGTTCACTCTAAGCATGGTGAGTCCGCTTTTAGCTATTATGGCAGCCGCAGCTGAACCAGCTTCCAGAAGAGATCAGATGTGCTCCTACAGTAGTCACATTCAAATCCAGACTCAAAACACATCTGTTTAGCTGTGCATTTACTGAATGAGTACTGTGCCACTGTACGTCCGACTGATTACACTGTATTTTCTTTTCTTTTTTATTCTAAACTGTTTTAATTGTTCTTCTTTCTATTGATTATTTTAATTTCTTCTATGTAAAGCACTTTGAATTACCATTGTGTATGGAATGTGCTATATAAATAAACTTGCCTTGCCTATATCATAGACATTATAATTGTTTCAAAACCACAATGCTACCTAAATGTGTAGTTTATTAGACTTGTAACAGTTTCAGAATAATTTGTTTTATTAGATATGAAATAACTAATAATACAAATAATTATTAGTATTAATTACTTTTCCACCAGTCTGGATTTTGCATTTTATATTTTCCAACATTATACACGTCTAATTTTAGTCTAGAATTTAAATGTCTTTGTAAGGGTATATATTACAAGGTGATTTAATGCCATCCTGAAATCTCAAATTTGATGTTTTATAATAAATATTTGTTTCTGTCTTTCTGTTTCTATGTGCATGGTCAGCGGCTGGTCATCGTATGTGGGCCCTGCAGAGACTACGCAAGCTCCTTACCACCGAATATGGACAGTCCATAAACATCAATCGCCTCTTAGGAGATAACGAAGGAGAAGCTCGCTCTATGGTTAGACAATGTACATTTTTGTATTGTATGTATATATATATAATTAATTTCTTTATTTTTTGTTGTATAATCAACTTTTTCTGAATGTTGTGTAGAGTTTTACAGGAAGTGCATTAGCTGCTCTGGTGAAAGGACTTCCTGAGGCTTTACAGAGACAGTATGAGTATGAGGAACCTATAGTCCGGGGTGGGAAACAGCTACTCCACAGCCCGTTCTTCAAGGTGCGTTTGTCTGCCTAACAGACGTACTTCGTAAGTTTGAGAGATGAGTTTTCCAGAAATAATGTTTTATTTTTGTCTTGTTTAGGTGTTGGTGGCACTTGCATGTGATCTGGAGTTGGACACTCTTCCATGCTGCGCTGAGACACACAAGTGGGCGTGGTTCCGCCGCTATTGCACCGCCTCCCGAGTGGCAGTGGCTCTGGACAAGAGGACCCCTTTGCCCCGCCCTTTCCTGGATGAGGTAGGCATTTCTCATATTGGTTTGAAATTAGAGAAATTCTTGACAATCAAGACAAAAACAACAGATGATGTCTTGACATCATCTTGAAGCATTTTGTAAAGCTATTTTATACATTTATACCTTCTTTTATGTACATGTATATGCATCTGATCTAATGAATTATCTTTGATTTTCCGGTGTAAAAAAAATTTGTATGTGCATACATAATTTTTGACTATAATATTTGTAATGTAAAAACATTTTCTAGTTTATAAAACCATGTATAATGGCAGCAATGCGCTGTTTTTTTTGTTGTTGTTTTTTGTGGTGATGGTACAATTAATACTGATCCTAAATTTTCTTCATTTTCACCAGGTGGCAAAGAAAGTCCGTGAGCTGATGGCAGACCATGAGAACATGAACACGCTCCATGAGAGTCATGACCTGTTTAAAAGAGAGCAGGATGAGCAGTTAGTTCAGTGGATGAACAGGTAATGTATTGTTTCAGCCAGTGAAGCATAAGCAAAAATGTTGTACCTTTTAAGTGATGCTTTAAATGGTCGGGATTCCAAAGTCATTTGTTAAATTTTGTGATTTGTTCATGTTTACTGTTATATAGACGGCCAGATGATTGGACACTCTCAGCGGGTGGCAGTGGGACCATCTATGGCTGGGGACACAATCACAGGGGTCAGTTAGGTGGTATTGAAGGGGCAAAAGTCAAGGTTCCCACACCAACAGAAGCTCTTGCAACACTGCGACCTGTTCAGCTGATCGGTGGAGAGCAGACCTTGTTTGCGGTCACTGCTGATGGGAAAGTAAGGCTTTGTCTGCTTTTTACATTTTAAAAGACTTATATTTTTCAATATAAATTTCATTTGTATTTTTTTTTTTTTCTCTTCTCAGCTGATACATAATTAAATGCATAATTAAACCTATGTTGTACAGGACCTCTGTTGTAGCAGTTGCTCTAATATCTAGTGTCAGCTGAATAATGTCCTTAGTAACTTGTCTTTGCTGTCCTCAGCTGTATGCTACAGGATATGGTGCCGGCGGTCGGCTGGGAATAGGGGGCACAGAGTCCGTCTCCACTCCGACCCTGCTGGAGTCAATCCAGCATGTTTTCATCCGGAAGGTGGCTGTGAACTCTGGGGGCAAGCACTGTTTGGCTCTCTCCTCTGAAGGAGAACTGTACTCCTGGGGAGAGGCTGAAGATGGGAAACTGGGTCATGGAAACAGAAGGTCAGCCTCATACTGTGGTTACTACTGTTGTCTTTTCAGGCCATCCTTAAAAATATTCTTGTTTGCTGTAACCCGACCGACCCTGTCAAATTAGGACCGACCCAATTATTATTATTATTTTTTTTCCCTTTTAGTCCGACCGACTTGCCGGTTGTAAACTTTCATTAAGACCGACCGATTTTTTTTATACTCTTCAAACAACTAATACAAATACAATAAAATAATATAAATAATATATTATAGTAAGTATTGTGAATATAAATTGCGTAGGCTACGTTCTTTCTTTTAAATAAAAACCCGTGGCGTCATCTATGATGATTATCTTTACAACATTGGTTTACGCATGTCACATTATGGTCTGTGCGTTCGCTTCGTTTCATTCACTGTCAATGGTTCGCGCTCGGTGATGATGGCTGCGGCGCGGCTGCTTGTGAAATACGTCTGTATGAGCCTACATTTAGTCGCTCATTATTCGAAATTCTTAATGGTCAAATAGGGAATAGGGAATCGATGTTAGCGGCCTTTTCTCGGAGGGCGTCCAGCTCGTCACGGTCACGATATGCCCGGCGCGAACGTGTGTCACACAGCAACTGCACAGGCTCTGACAAACAAACACACATAAGTATGGGAAGCCAAACACACCGAAAGTGGGACGAGACGGCGCGGTGTTACAGAGTTCGCGCTGCGCTGTCGAGTCTGTCGCGGCTCGGCCCATTGAGCCGCGCAGATTACATGTCAGCGCGAACTCTGTAACACCGCGCCGTCTCGTCCCACTTTCGGTGTGTTATAAAATAAAGGGAGGAAGTGTTTGCTTGCGCCATCCAATGGTCAGCGCGGTGCGAAATAATCTCACCAGCGCCGCGCTGACCAATAAAACAGCACATCCCATACCGAAATGCACTAAATTGCACTAAAGAAAATCGACCATTCCATAATATGTCAGGACTACTTAATAGGCCTATAGTTTCTACAATGCGCCTAGCCATTTGATCTCACTGATTTCCGTTAATAATATCAGAGGTTTATGGGTCAAATGTAAACGTATGGTGCCAAAATGCCAAATGCGCTGTTTTATTGGTCGGAGTGGCGCTGGTGAGATTAGTCATTTTAATTTATTTGTTTCCCTCTGAAAATCCACTTTCATTGAAATCTAGTGTCTTTTTTTTAAAATTGATTCTGCTTTTTTTTTTTTTTTTTTTTTTTTAAATGAATGCAGCTGGAATTAATGCAATAAATATGTTTTTTGACAAAGATTTAAAATTGTTTGTGGTCTATAATCTGTATCAGAATGAGGTTCGCAATGGTGCGCCCGAAGGCATGGGTTGAAGACCCAGTCAGTGACGTCACGATATGCAAATTTGTTTAAATCCATACCAACGTAATCACCATGACCAAAATTGTCCTTTTTTTTTTTTTTACATTGAATCTTGGAAAAAAAATATAGACCTACCTACCGACCCTTTTTTTTCCCCGCTGTTACTGCAAACCACAATATTTTTAAGGATGGCCTCATATGGGCACCTTTTGTTCATCTTCATGCAGTGACCTTCTGCATACTTAACTTTCATTATTCAGCTGTTTTCCATTTTCACAATGCTTACAGAAAAGTATATTATTGGACGTGGTACCATAGTTGTACCATGGTTTTTAGAACCCATACAGTAGTCCTCTTTAGACATTCTGTTGACTGAGTAACTGGTAGTTGACATGTAGTTAAAGTTTTAGTAGACTGTCTGCTTAATATCTGCTAACACTTTATTTTGATGTTTCCCCAACATACATTCTACTGACTTTAACTTATTCTACTATCCCTAACCTAACTGTCTACTAATACTCTAATGAGAGTAAGTTGCTAAGTTACTTGTAGTTAGGAGGAGAATGTCTAAAGTGGACTATCAAAATCATTCCCAGTGTCTTTAAGTATCATGTAAATTCAGAATTTTATACCATGGGATATGTCAGAATACCATTGTATTAATAGCTGATACCATCACTGTATAGTACCACAGTACTTCCTGTAGTTCTTAAAAGAACCAAAAGTCATTACCCACTCAAATATGTGCGCTGGACTATCACTGATTTGTTATAGCAGCTTGTATTAATCGGTACAGTATGTGTGGTCTTTTCCCCAGCCCTTGTGACCGTCCACGCGTGATTGAGTCTCTCAGAGGTGTGGAAGTGGTGGACATTGCGGCTGGTGGGGCTCATAGTGCCTGCATCACAGCCAGCGGAGAGCTCTACACATGGGGAAAAGGGCGTTATGGTCGCCTGGGTCATGGAGACAGTGAAGACCAGCTTAAACCAAAACTGGTGTGTTCATTAGGCATTTTTAATGCATATTTATCTAGCATGAAAACAATGAAAATTGCAATTAAGGAATAACATTAATGTACACCTCATAAAAAATATATATATATATATATAAGACTGTTGTAATATAATACATTTTATCATAATTTCATATTGTACTTGTATAATATTTTATGTTCAGTTCTTATTAGTTCATCAGCCATTGCTATGTACAATCTCCAAAAAATAGTTTTAATGAGCGACTGGAAAAATTATGGAAATTCATTTATAACATGCACAATAATAATTTTATTTTTTACATCTTTTTAAATTATTTAAAAAAAATACTTAAATAACTAAACTAAGCAATCAAACTGAATCACTAAAATTTGTCAGGCTTGTCAATGGTAGTTCAATTTATTTATTTTATTTAATTTTTTGAATATTGGAACTGGACATTTTTGAAAAGGGATGCTAAATATACTTTTGTTAATAGTATAATATATAATGTTTAATATGTGCATTGCCTGTGCATGTGTATAGGTGGAGGCTCTGCAGGGTCACCGGGTGATAGACGTTGCATGTGGCAGCGGGGACGCCCAGACTCTGTGTCTGACTGATGATGACATGGTGTGGTCATGGGGGGACGGAGACTATGGCAAATTGGGCCGAGGAGGTAGTGACGGATGTAAAGTGCCTATGAAGGTGAGACTGCTTGTGCAGATACTCAAGTATCAAAGGTTTTCTTGTTTAGTGATTCCTGTATTCACATCTCATTCTCTCTTTCTCGGTTTAGATTGACTCATTAACTGGGTTGGGTGTTGTGAAAGTGGAATGCGGCTCTCAGTTCTCTGTGGCTCTCACCAAGTCTGGAGCAGTTTACACATGGTAATCAATCCCTCAATACAGTTGTACCGTAAGCTAATCTTTTATTTCGTTTTTTTATTTTATTTAGGACGCATCTAGAGTAATTTACATGTTCATGTGTGTTTTAGGGGGAAGGGTGATTACCACAGGCTGGGGCACGGCTCGGATGATCATGTTCGCAGACCCCGGCAGGTCCAGGGTTTGCAAGGCAAGAAGGTCATCGCCATAGCAACTGGTTCTCTTCACTGTGTATGCTGCACAGAGGATGGTAGGTCATCTGGACTATGTTTTTAAACCTGGTTTTTAATTGTGTTAAGCAGGCCTTTGTAACCCGTATCATAATCTTGTTTAAGATCTGTAGGCTCTTTTATAGCATTCATATTTTATATATAGGGTCCTTAAAGGGCATATTGCAGGTTAGAGGACCCAACGAGTCAATGTATAGAAAAATAATGTAGGAACTAGATTTTCTTTAAAATATTCTTATAAATACGCTACAGAAGCTTCTGGAGTCGTTTTTGTGAGAAAATTTTACTTCCGCGTCTGAAAATGGGCGTGGCGGGCGTGACGTAACGGGCGGGAGAGCGGTCGATTCAAACAACAGGAAAACAATGGATCGCAATGACATTTCGGACGCTGAGGAAATACTTACTCGTATGACGGACTACAGCCATACAATTATGAGCCTGCTATGCTGCCAAGAGAGTAGGGACAGGCCAGGATTAATGTTAGACAGAACGGTCAGAGACACATTGAGTTGTGGTGTGAGGAGAACCAGTGGAGAACAGGACAGGTGTCTTGGTGAGAGACGTGCTTATAGATACACGTTCGCTAACGATACACTGTGCTCACAATATTGTACAGATTATTACCATCGTATATCAGGCCAGCAGACATTAGTATGTTTAGGGTAGATGTATACTATTAAATGTATAAAAACTATACTTGAGTATATTTCTATTGTAAGTTACTAAAAACATACTCAAGTACATTTTTAAAACATATTTTTCATCTGGGTTATAACATAAACAGAAAATTAAAGATTTGAATATTTAATCAACCTAGTAATTTTGTTTTTCAATTACAAGTTGCCTCTATTTAGGGCATGACTACCTATATCACACTATTTGATGCCATTGGTACAGTATACGACGTTCAATATTCTTGCTTCGGCATCCCATGTTAAACTCCATCATATCGCCAGGATGATAATCCTCCGATCTGAAGTGAACGCTACACACGATCTGAAGTGAACGCTACACACGATCTGAAGTGAACGCTACATACGATCTGAAGTGAACGCTACACACGATCTGAAGTGAACGCTACATACGATCTGAAGTGAAAGCTACACACGACCGCGTTTCTCGAAGCCGATGCGGAAGAGAAATCCCGTCTCTTCACCTGCACAAACCGCACCAGGCACGAAAGATATACAGCACCGTCCTTTTTCTTGTTATGGAAACCTGTGGACTCGATGTCCTGACAGGCCGGAGTTTTTGCAACCTCCACAAACACAATAATTTACCATGACGATGATAAATTAAAATACAAAAACTACCGAAAACACACTGACTCACGGCCGCTCTCTCTGAATGCCAGCCTACTCTGCACTGAGGCGAGGCTGAGGCTCCCTAGCGTGACGTAAAATGACGCGATGTTGAAAAAAAAGCCGTTTTTACGAGCAGTCCAAGAAACGCTCACTTTATCTACTAAATTAGTGCCCTTATGTCGTTTTAAAACATTTTAAATCCTGCATTACCTTTTCATATGGTATTTTCATACAAGGTTATATATTAATTTAGTTGTTTTTTTTTACCTGCAATATGCTCTTTAAAGGGACAATATGTAGGAATTTCTCCCATCTAGCGGTGAAATTATATTTTGCATTCAAAAGAATTGTGCTATCCAGCGCCTAGCTTTTTCAAATGCGTGCATCTACGGTAGCCGTTATGTTCCAAAAAGCTATCACAGGATGTCTTCTAGTAGCACCTCGTCGAGTGTTCCTTTGGGTGAACAGGTTTGTTATTTCAAACAAACTTGACACAACGAACAAACGAATGTTACAGTATGAATTACTGACTGTGAAACTTGCCGGGGCTCTGAACGAAAACGCGTTGTGGAAACGCGTTGGCCTAGTACTTTTTGTCCCTCTCTGCTAGTTTTTGAAGATGGCGGAACTACATGGAAGCCTCCGTGGACCTACCCGTCCCATGTATATAAAGATAATAAATTCTTCGTTTACGAGGATAAGTCAGATAATTGGCAGAGGTATTTGTACACCATTGAGGACATATTTATGAATAAAAATATTGATTTTAGATAATAAAATACCTAAAAACGTACACATTGTCCTTTTAAAGTCTTAAATGTAGTTGTATCAAATTTAAGGCCATAACAAGTATTAAGTATCTTAAATGGTATAAGAAAAGTCTTTAATTATAATTTCAAGAGGTCCTAAATTTGGGGGCAGTAAAACAGGAATTGTGAAATGGCTTGTGAATATTAAAATTTAAAACGCATTGGTTTAAAGGTAGGGTATGGGATTTGCAAAACGGCTGGCAGACTTTGAAAATACACAACTCAAAAGGTCCTACCTTCTTTCCTCCAACGCTGGCGCTGACTCCACCCATTCGAAGAACATGGACACGCAATCATTCTCCAAACGGAAGCAACTTGCACTTTCTCTCTCTCTCTCTCTGTACCGGGGCGACTTGCACTTACTGTGACTGGGTCACGAGCTTTGAGTAAGCGCACAAAGATGATCCTGACCGTTCCACAGATGATTAAATTGCTTAATTTTCATTTCAGTGCTTCTAACTCAGTGGCTGTAAGTGGGTTAGGAATAGGATTTCAAGTGATTTTGAAAAAATGGTCAAAGAAAATCACATACCCCACCTTTAATGAGATAAATGTGACTGCTGCACATTTCAAAGGAAAAACGCAACGCTGTTGCACGTTCTACAAAATTGCAGTTTCAGGGCTGTTTACAAATTATAAATACTGTGCCAATCGATAGCTTATGCTCTACTGATAAAGAATTATGATCATGTTTACCTTATATCGTTTTTATCATGCCTACAAACTCGTTGCATTCCTAAAAAGTGCAGCTGCATTGTAAACAGGGGTTACCAGGGTAATCGCTATATTTCTGCTGTTCCATCTCCATCCAAGCTCCATCTGCATTTTCATTCAGCCGGTGGATCGAAAAGAAGCTAAATATTCTTAGAATTAGGATATAAATAATTTTTTAAATAATATAAATAAATATACTCATTTAGAATTTTGACTCGCCCCTTTTCTTAAAAGCTGGAATGTGAGGTTTAAAATTTTGTTTTTGTTATTATTTGAATGGTAAAGTTGTTAAAATAATTTTTAGAGATTTTGCTCTACCCATGTCATACGGTATTCATTTTATTTGTGCAGGTCTTAAAAAGCCTTACATTGATTTAAAAAAAAAAACTGCAGATACCCTATATATAGATATTTAGTATTTTCTTTTGTCTGGCACTGTCTGTATACTTAGTCATTTGTATTTTGTGAAGTATATGCTAAAAACATGAATGCAAACACACAGGGGAAGTGTACACATGGGGTGACAATGATGAGGGTCAGCTCGGCGATGGGACCACCAATGCTATTCAGCGGCCTAGGCTGGTGGCAGCACTGCAGGGCAAGAAGATCAACCGCGTGGCTTGTGGCTCAGCACACACACTTGCCTGGTCCACTAGTAAACCTACCAATGCTGGAAAACTGCCTGCTCAGGTACCGTGCCACCAAATATAGCTCAGACTACAAAAAAATGTCAAAGAACTAAATATTTAACCATTCAGCCTTTTAAATGTGCTAAATGCTGCATGTAAATAATTAAATGCTTGTCTGTAGGTTCCTATGGAGTACAACCACTTGCAGGAGATTGCCATCATAGGCCTGAGGAACCGATTACTGCTACTTCACCACATCTCAGAGCTCTTCTGCCCCTGCATCCCAATGTTTGACCTGGAAGGACGACTGGGCGAGACTGGACACGGTGTCTCCGTTGGCTTTGACACACTCCGTGGAATCCTCATATCACAGGGCAAGGTGAGGATATTTTAAAGGAGTATTATTTATTTTAATTACAATTCCTAAGTATATTTACTTACATTCCCCCCCCCCCCCCCCCCAATGTCTATAGGAGGCAGCATTCCGTAAGGTGGTGCAGGCCACCATGGTTAGAGACCGACAGCATGGCCCAGTGGTGGAGCTGAACAGGATACAGGTACACGTGCATTAAAAACTGCTCACTTGGTTTGAGATTTGCATTTAACCATATCCTAATTTGGCCTCAAATACAGTACATTTCACTGTCTTAACTAAATAAATTCATTCATTCATTTTGGACATGTATTTAAAATGTAACATTTAAAATGTGTTGCATATTTTCAATAAACAGGTGCTCATGTCATTAAATTAAATAGTTACCCACAAGTTGTTGTTATTATGTTTCAACATTATAAGAATTTTTTTTTTTTTTTTTTTTTCATTAGTAAGTATCAAACAATCATTCTTTGTTGCGTTGCAAATTAAAAATTTATTTAAATGTATTTGTTTTAATTTTTGAAAAACTTGGACCAAAAATGCATGTTATTTCCTCACCAAAGCTAATTTTTTACTTGCGTTTCCCACTTGGTTTGAGAGTTCATTAGGATGGGAAGCAGAATCCAAAATGAACAATTACTTTGAATGGGCAAAAATAGCTAGCGGGTCCTCTGTAAAATTGTCTCCCTTTCCCTAATCACCGTAATTACCGTTGCATTTTCTGCGTCTTCCTGTCGGCATGGACACACAAGTGCTGTGTACACCATTTGATTATTATCATTCATTTTATTTTCATTACCATTTTGAGCGAGAGTTAGCAGCCCTAAATCTTAATATTTTGAGAAATGTTCATTTAAACATCATATGAATTTGATTTATTTTTGGACCTGCTTGTCATGAGATTTACCCCCAAATATGTATCTTCATGGGTCCAGTGTCCCTCTAATAGGGCCCCTGGAGTCTGGCAGGGATCTGCTGTAAAACTTAAGAGTGGTGTTTATACAGCACTTCAGAGCAGAGAAGCCTGTAATAATTAATCCTTTCTCATTCTTTCTATCAGGTCAAGCGTTCCCGCAGTAAAGGAGGACTGGCAGGGCCAGATGGCACCAAGTCAGTGTTTGGGCAAATGTGTGCTAAGATGAGCTCTTTCAGCCCCGACAGTCTGTTGCTGCCACACCGTGTCTGGAAGGTCAAGTTTGTGGGTGAGTTTGTATTTAGAGAGGGATGATTCTACATGAAAGAGGGGAATTGGTGGGGAACAGACCCTTAGATCATGGCCCGTCTACACTGTGTTTCTGACCTTGTGTGTGTTTGTAGGCGAGTCGGTCGATGACTGTGGTGGTGGATACAGTGAATCTATTGCTGAAATGTGTGAGGAACTACAGAACGGTCTCACTCCTCTCCTCATCGTCACTCCTAACGGGCGAGACGAGTCGGGAGCAAACAGAGATTGCTTCCTGCTCAACCCAGCTGCCAAGTCCCCTCTGCACATCAGCATGTTCCGCTTCCTAGGTACCACCTGCTTGTGTTTCCTAAACTAAAAGTCTTTATGGGAAAAGACTATAATTTCATAGCTATATTATTTCCCTTCATTAGATCTGTTGGTATACCAATATCTGTTTTTATTTGTGTACAGGGGTGCTCCTGGGCATAGCAATCCGTACAGGAAGTCCTCTAAGTCTGTACCTGGCTGAACCTGTGTGGAAACAGCTGGCAGGCATGAACCTGACCATTGCTGATCTCAGTGAGGTAATAATAATAATTCATAACATTTATATAGCGCTTTTCTCGGCACTCAATGCGCTTTACATAGAAGGGGGAATCTCCTCAACCACCACCAATGTGCAGCATCCACCTGGATGATGCGACGGCAGCCATATTGTGCCAGAATGCCCACCAAACACCAGCTTATTGGTGAAGGGGAGACAGAGTGATGAAGCCAATTAGTATGTGTGTATATATATATATATATATATATATATATATATATATATATATATATATATATATATATATATATATATATATATATATATATATATATATATATATATATATATATATATATATATATATATTAGTGCTGTCAAATGATTAAAATATTTAATCGCGATTAATCGCATTAATGCCATAGTTAACTCTTGATTAATCACACATTTTTATCTATTCTAAATGTCTCGATTTCTTTTTGTCCCATTATTTTTTTTTCTCATTTGAATGCTCTTATCAACATGGAAAAGTGAATCGGCTTGCTTTGTGCAAATGTTTTTTGTAGAAAACAACATTGGCATATACCAGCGGTTCTCAAAGTGTGGGGCGCGCCCCACCGGTGGGGAATAGAGACGTGACAGGTGGGGCGCGCCAAACGGGAGGAAATTTTCCTTTTTATGCCTTTATATCTTTATCCAGACATCCCAAATGTCCCGGAAGTTCCGGGAGTCTCCCGCATATTGATAGCGGCTCCTTGACGCCCGCAAATGAGATCCAATCTCCCGGAATCTGGAGCAAGACCGCGCACTAGAGTAGAGACTGGGCGCGCGTGTGTGCGTGTGTGCGTGTGTGTGTGTGCGTGTGTGTGTGTGTGTGTGTGTGTGACTATTAATGCAGCGCGTGTGAGAGCAAACCGTCCTTATAGCTGTGTGTTGCCGCTTATTAGACCGATCACCCCCGGGGGCGACAACAAGTAACAGGAATTCCCCACCCCCAAAATAATGATTGACGTGACGTCGGCATATTAATTGTAGCGGAACAAACTTTTGCGCCCATAGATATGTAGCCTTTCGCGCCGATGGGTAGCCAGGCGCGCTGGAAGCTGTTTTATGCGTAAGTGGAGCTGATGGCTGGGTTGGAAAATATGTGACGTCATTATGTTGTGGCTTACGACAAGACATGAAATTTTTCTGAACATTGAACATGATTTGAGAGTGGCAGTATCAAGCCTGCAACCCTGCTTTGAGAAATTGTGCAATGCAAAACAGGCTCATTGCAGTCACTAATGCAGGGATAAATAGACCTGTCTTGCCAAATGGATTTCTCTTCTTTTCTTTTTTTAACAGATTGCAAAGTGGCACTTTTATTTCTTTTCTATTTTTGAGGCACTTTTATTTTCTCTATTTTTGAATTTCATGCAAGTTATGACACAGATGCACTTCATTTTCTTTATTTTTGAACTTGCTGTTATTTGATGTAGATTGTTAGTTTGTATTTAGATACAACTGGTTACTATACTGATACTACTTGTTACTTCAATAAATTGGAACATTTTAAGCTTGTTACGTATTTCATTAGCATTGTGTCGGGGCGATGGGGGCAGGTGGGGCTTGAAAATTCCCCCTTGTCCAAAGTGGGGAATGACCGAAAAAGTTTGAGAACCACTGGCATATACTGTGTTAAATTTCACACTAACATTCTCACTTGGAGCAAATAATCTCTCACACAATGTCCGCTTGCGCTTTGGTCGACGAAGCAACAAAACGTCCTCGCGCGGCGCAAGCCATTGAAATGAAAGGGTTTCATAGCGTTGCAAAAGCATGTGAAATAACTACAAAGTTTGCTAGGCCAAAAAGACCGTTAAAATTGGATGGGGTTGGTGCTTCTTTTTTTCTCTCTCTTCTTCCAATCAGCACTTCAGGATTACATGACATGGTATGTCTGTAGTTGGAGCTTATGGCAAGGCCTCTTGAATCCATTATATAAATGAATGGAATGAGAGCACATACCTCTTGTGCATTCTGTACATTTGTTCTGATGGTGGTCAGCTGACATAGATGCCCGTCATAAACCTACCACCTTTAATGCATATATGCTGTAAGCAGCTTTCTCTAAATCTGTGGCATGTTTGTGCTACAGTAATACTGCATTTCTCAGCAGTTGCTTACATCAAATTACAGGAATGTTAAGCAGTTATACAAATATAACGGTTTTAATTGAACGATCTCTGAGATATAAAGTGTGTGAGAGTGTGCGCACATGCACGTGTGATGTGTAAAAATGAATGCGAGTGTATGCATCTCCTGCATTCACGCTGAGATCATGTGTTGCTGAGACGTCTGCAGTGATGCAGTTTCTCAGCGCAGGATGTCTCTTGCTCACAGAGCAGCTGTTGTTTGTAGCTTTTGCCTGGAGATATCAGAAAGGTTAAAGAGAAAGATTACCAAGCACAAGACAACAGTGAGACTGACTGTGATGCACTCTAACACCCATGCATTCCTTTCATTCCTTTTCTATCGTCATTTGCACAGGTTCAGATTATCTTTAATCATCTTTGTTGAATGAATCTTGAATAAACCTAAGTCTAGATCACTCAGATCATCCAACTCCAACTTGAAGGTTTGCTGGTACCTAAATCTGATTTAAATTCACTGTAGTTTAAAAGTTTGTAAGATTCTTCTATTTTAATATATTTAAAAAATGTAATTTATTCCTGATTGCAAAGCAGAATTTTCAGCAGCCATTTCTCCAGTCTTCTTCGGTGTCACATAATAAAACATCAAATTATATGCTGATTTGGTGCTTAAGAAACATTTCCTATTATTATCAATGTTGAAAACCGTTGTGCTGCTTACTATTTTTGTGGAAATCGTAATACTTTTTTTTCAGGATTTTTGATGAATCGAAAGTTTTAAGAACAGCATTTTTTGAAATATAAATATTTTGTAACTGATCAAATGTGACAGTAAAGACATTTGTTATGTTTAAGGCTAAATTAAAGTATTCATTTGTTTAAAAAAATCGTACCATAATCTTTTGAGAAGTGTGCGTGTATATATAGTATATTTATTGAAATAAAATTTTGATTGCTTTCCTTAATGTTTAATCCAACCTCACATTCCTTTTGTGTTAGGTGGACAAGGACTTCATCCCCGGTCTGATGTATATCCGAGATAACGAGGCATCTGCGGAGGAGTTTGAGGCTATGCCCCTGCCCTTCACTGTGCCCAGTGCCTGTGGACAGGAAGTCCAACTCAGCTCCAAATATTCCCACATCACCTTAGAGAACCGAAGCGAATATGTACGGCTAGCAATAAACTACAGGTGTGACTAATTTGAGAGAAAGAAAGTGTTGCCAACACATTCTGAGAAAAGAAAGAAAGAACTGGTATTACTGGTAATGTTGTTTTGTTCTTCCAGGCTGCATGAGTACGATGAGCAGGTGTCGGCAGTAAGGGAAGGTATGGCACGTGTGGTACCGGTGCCTCTCCTCTCTCTCTTTACCGGCTATGAGCTGGAGACCATGGTGAGTGTGTCTTCAACAGAAACGCACACTGAGCATTGCAAATATGTTGTCAGGAGTTCTTGTTAGACTTCATGTCACGTGTTTGTGTTGTCTAGGTGTGTGGTAGCCCGGACATCCCCCTGCACCTGCTCAAATCTGTGGCCACGTATAAGGGGGTGGAGCCCACTTCGCCTCTGATCCAGTGGTTCTGGGAGGTGATGGAGTCTTTCTCTAACACAGAACGCTCGCTCTTCCTCAGGTTCGTCTGGGGTCGCACGCGCCTCCCCAGGACCATTGCGGACTTCCGTGGACGAGACTTTGTGGTGCAGGTAACTTGTGACTTTGAAAAGTGTCACTAAAAGGGGTAGTTTCCCCCAAAAATTAAAATCTACCCACCCGTATGTCAATCCAAACCCAAATTAATTATTTTTGCTGTCAAAATGAATGGTAATTATTTATTTATATATATATATATATATATATATATATATATATATATATATATATATATATATATATATGATATGTATATGTGTATATATATATATATATATATATATATATATATATATACATATATACATATACATATACATGCATGCATACATACAGTATGTATGTCTCAGTGGCGTGCAGCCCATATAAGCTCTGAATTCTCTGCATACCTAAGCCATTCATGGACTCACTGATGAGTATTAACACTATAAATTTCCTTGTTTGAGGTGTGCCATAAAGCTTACATGATAACATTTTAGTAATACGTATGTAAATCTGTCATTTATTTATTTGCCAAACAACGGTCATTTTCTTCAAATCTGCCACTCACTGATAGTTCCGGGTAAGCGGATCCACAGCAGCTTTGGCACCTACGCTCTGTTGTTATGTATCGTCATCACTGTCCTGCGTTCGCATTGGTTTGCTGGCATATGGGGGATTTAATGCGCAGGGAAAGCTGTCTGCGGATCGCTCGCCCCAGAGGAAAAATGTGCTGCTGCTGCCAGATCTCGATCAACAAAAATCATATTGCGTTTGATACAAGACTAACTAGACTAAATCCAGTGAAAAAAGTCATAAAATACGTATTTTCAAAGTATTTTATTTTCTCCACAGGCAAATTTATTTTTAACGACAACTTATAAACCATTTAAAAGAATAAATATATTTGTATTATACTTACATTTTTTTCTAATGATATTTTAACTCAACACCTGACTCAACTCAACAGCTTTTATGGGTGCTTGTGAAGGCATCAACAGGTAAATGTTGGCTACTTATAATAAATGGTCAAATATATTAGGAAACTTTTAGCTGTGTTGCTATGTGTCATGAGAGTAAGCAACTGAGCAAACGCGCTTATTATAAACCCATCCAACGTGCACCAGGTGCATTTTTGACATAGCGCGTCACCCAGCATACACGGTTAAAAAAGATATATGTGTGTGTGTATTATAAAATATAATTGCTCATTTTTAGAGTTTTTGCCCTATTTGTCCAGGTTCTGGATAAATACAACCCACCTGACCATTTTCTCCCTGAGTCCTACACCTGCTTCTTCCTGCTCAAGCTGCCACGCTACTCCTGTAAGCTAGTCTTGGAGGAGAAACTCAAATACGCCATTCACTTCTGCAAGTCCATTGACACGGATGACTACGCACGGATTGCTTTGAGCGGTGAACCCGCCGCTGATGACAGCAGTGACGACTCTGACAATGAGGATGCGGACTCGTTTGCTTCCGACTCCACACAGGATTACCTGACAGGACACTGAACTCTTAACCCCTGGTTAAACTGTCTCACAAACACACATACACACAAACACACACACACAGACATATGGTGTGGTCTTGAAAATAAGCTGACAAGAAGAAAAAGTTTAAATGAAAACTGAACCGAAGATGTTTGTTTTAACCTCACTTATTAATATGTGCATAGACACAAATACAACTAAATGAAGAGAAATATGTGTATATCATTATGTGCAATTCGCTTTAAAGCACTATAAGCTGGTGAAAAGCAAGATAGAGATTTTTTTTAATCTTTGTTGTGAAGAGAACCAGGAAGACCGGAGAAACTACACATCTCTTTGTGTTAAATGTTGTGCTCATGTTTTCTTACAGAGGACAGACCGCTTAGCCTAGCACTGAGGTAGACGACTCCTGACAGGCGTCTCTGTGAAGATCTTCACATCAATTTTGTGTTAAATAGCTAGTATTATGAATTTTAGCTTCGCCTCTTTATTTGGAAACAGCAGTGTTTCTTTAAGAACCTTTTTAACTTGGAGCAGGACATTTTGTGTTCTCATTTGATCAGTGGAAGCCTGATCAGGGGTTGTTTTTAGTTTGTTGGTCACTGTATCCTCTCCTCCCATATGTGTCTGCACTGTTCTCCTTATTGAATGTATATAATTTAATTGTGCCATGTGTTTATGAGAAATCTCATTCCCATGTTATAAATAAATGGTAATTTCTGTTAATAAATTTAAACTAAATTTCTCTTGTAAGTTTGTTGGTTTCGATTTTGAATTGAAATAATTGTGTATTTTTGGTTGTTTGTGTTGCACATTTGAATTGGGGAAAAATGTAATACATTTTAAAAAGAGAGGAAAAAACATACTAGCCGATAACGATGTAGTCTTAATTTATCAGTCAAAATATTTGTCAATATATTATTTGAAACGCGCACAGCATTTTTTTTTTTTGTACACTATATGTTAGCATTTGGTGTTTTTATTCCTCAAATTTTGACCAATATCAACAGCTAATATTTATTTATATTATGCTCTATAACCGATATGATGGCCAATATTAAAAATCCATATTCACTGTCCAATAGAAAAGATTAGTAACGGTTTAATCTTTTTGTGACATTGAACCCAACCCCCAAATTTTGTCATTTGTAAATGTAAGCCCTGCCTCATGTTACTTGTTTCCAGTGGTGATACTGGATAATAATAATAATAATGTATGATAATGAAATCATACAAATTCTAAAAATGTATTTATCTAATATTTGAAATCCCCAAATATGCAAGCAGTTTGCCATTGTTTAAGGTTTAACACGCTTTAGATTCCGTCTACTTTGGCTTTGGTCTTGTGTGGGATTTCCAGACATTTTAAGACAAATTCCTCAGAAACACTGTCGAAAACTCACCATAATGACCTGCACAACTCATACTGGCTTATGTGGTAGAGTGTGAGCACTTCCACCCCTCACAGCTTTCACATGCAGCCAGAGGAAAGTCAAGTGATGTTTACCCGTGAGTCGGCTGATCCATCTAGCTCAGCATACATTACTCATGGCTCACAGACTTTGTTGTTAATGGGCCACAGCAGTAAGCTCAGAGGTCAAAGGTTACAGTGTAAACCCGCCTCTATCTTCTTTTCTACGTCAAAGTCTGAGGAGATGAAAGGATATTAGGGGTGCATGACAGAGAGGAAAGAGTGGGGAAGATTTATGATGGCTTAATTTGGCTTAGAAAGCAAGAGCATTCTTCACCGTCTTAATGCTTTTTTCTTTCTTTCATAAGCAGGAATCACAGAGCGCATTATTCTGGAATAGGTCAGGTGCTCTACTCATGTCGGGTCGGCTCCAGGCAGCCAGAAGAAATGAACCAAGGATGTAAAACTTCTTCATTTAGAAATTCAGCAGCAAGGTCTGACTTTACTGTACATTCTCTCACAAATCATTCAAACAGCATGATCAAATCAAAACACTTGTGGTAATGAAATTGTGGCTTTTTTTTTAAGGAATTTGATTCCTGGCTATCAGTCACTGAAGTTCATCATGCCAAAGGCCATTAGAAGGAACCATCATATTCAAAGTATTTATGGCTGGAACCCATAGTGCAAATGCTCTAACTCATTGCACAGTAGCTGATATGTGCGCCCTGAGTTCGATTTTTGCTTGAATTGTTTCATATACATTTTTCAGTTCATGGCCAGTAACCAAAATAATGGACAATATTATAAATCTATATTTATAATCCCATAGAAAAAAATGGATAGTTTAGTTATTTTGCTAAATGCTACCCAGACAGCAACATAGTGTCGGCCCAGATCCAGATGATCCATTCCACGCGTACCAGATGTGGTCCGGATTCGGGCAGACACAATGTTGCTGTCTGGTTATGTACCTAAAAAAATACAAAAAAATAAATTACTGTCTATAATTATATATATATGTATGTACATACATATTTTGTTTTAATTCATCTTAAAACTGAGGTGTTCCTGTACTCTTCTTGTCGATTCAGTATGTCAAATGTTATGTAAGCACCCACCACTGTAGGACGGCATGTGTGCGGGCGGGCAATTTTTTCATAACTGACTTTGAAGGAATTTTGCGATTAGTGGAGCTGAGACGGCTGGAATCCTTTCATGGCTGGGTTTGTTGGATGTTTTATGGGATCTCAATGGCCACATGCTGGATAAATCATACTTGTCTTTACCTCTGTGTGTCTCTTTTCCTCACTATCCGAAGACTCTATTTGACCTTGCAAAGTCCAATTATGCACTTCAGTGGGTTTCACAGTCTCTTCCATTTCTGATATACACTAGTATAAACGGGCTCCCATGCACAGGACCACTCTGACTAGATGCTACATCCAGGGTTTATTCTTTGAGAACTGTGCAGGAAGTGCTTAGGAAACATACACTAATCAAAACAGCTATCTGATTGAAGCAGTCGTTTTTGATTCCTCTCAAATCAGTTCCCTCTCTTCAGTCATGCCATCATCAGTGCATGTTCAAATGATGGAAAAGTCCCCCTTTACCTTGATGACAGCAGCACTTGAGCATGATCTCAACAAGTCTGTGTAAAACTGGATGATTGCAGTATGGTTTGATCACAGATTTTCTTGTTTCATTAGTGACCTAGAAATATATATATACTTCATATCTATTTTATACCAGAACATGTTTCTTTTTTTTCTTTTGTTGTTCTGCTTAGTTTTTTATTTTGCATAGCTTTTTGTTTTGTTTTGCTTAGATTTTGTTTAGTTTGCTTTTGCTTTATTTTGTTTAGTTTTTGTTTGGCTTTATTTTGTGTTAGCTTAGTTTTTGTTTTATTTTGCTTAGTTTTTTAGCTTAGGTTTTGTTTAGTTTTTTTGTTGTTTTTTAAAATTTTGCATAGTTTTGGTTTTGCTTAGATTTTGTTTAGTTTAGTTTTTGTTCGGTTTGGTTTTCCTTAGTTTTTGATTTGTTTAGCTTAGTTTTTTAGCTTAGGTTTTTTTTTTTTTTTTTTTTTTTGCATAGTTTTGGTTTTGCTTAGATTTTGTTTAGTTTTTGTTCGGTTTGGTTTTGCTTAGTTTTTGATTTGTTTAGCTTAGTTTTTGTTTTGATTTGCTGAGTTTTTGTTTGCATATTTTTCTTAAAAAAAAATTTTGCATTGCTTTTTGTTTAGTTTTTTCCCAATGTGGTCTCATTTGTTTTTTTGTTTTTTACCGTATTAATGTTCATTTAATGCACAAGTGTGCATAATAATCTGTTTATATATATAAATTCTGTGTTGTTATATTGGCCATAACTCTCAGACAAAAGTGCGGATGAGTGAAGACCTCAGACTGTGCGCACTGGGCCAAAATCCAGAATCTACTAGAAGTCACATGAAAGTCTCTCTCACTCTTTCCTCTTCCCTACAGCGATGAACGGCACTCTTTCCGACCCGTGTGATGCACCACATCACCTCCATGATCACTCAGCTCTCTTCTGGCTCCCTTTAAAACATTTTCACATTCATTTTATTTTGAACTGATGAACAATGGAATGTAAGAAAGTGTATAATTTGAGTCCCTGCCTACTGTGTGTATCAAAAGTTTGCCGCCCCACTACTGGATATTTTAGGTCTTTTAGGTCTGCTCTGTTACTTCCTTTGATGTATAAAGATGATGATGTCGTATCATCTCTGAAGTTGAAAATCATGGTAAATTTGACACCTCTGACATTGATTTTGCCATCTCTGTGACCCCTGCCATTGATCTGCACGGTATGTCTCATTACTGCAGTGCTGAAACCTGAGTTGGAAATTCAAATGTTTCATATTTGTTTGTTTTTAAACTGATTCTCATTGTAGTAATGTTCTAATCTGTTTATTTTACAGCTTTACAATTGAATACAGATTGTACAAGGACAAATTGTTATTGCTCAAAGATTGCTTTGAGTATCAATTTTGGAGACTGAGATGTTAAATTGTTTTTGTTTTGTTGGTATGAATTGGTATATGAATATACCAATATGGATTGGGCCCAGGTCTTGGGCAGTAAGACGGATGTAAAGTAGGGCAGTGAGATTCCTTCAGCTCTCGTAAGTAGGAGAAGGTTTAAGCAATAACGTCATGCATAGTAAGTTGCTAGTGATTAATATTTGAGTGTGTTTCCGCAAGAAAAAGTTTATTTAAAACGATCATTGTGTGTATTGTTTTGGTTTGAAGGGGTGAGTGTCCAGGCATTTGAGGGAAAGTTGGGCATGCCTAAAACACCAGTGTTAATGAGTGTCCACTTGTTTGTGAGAGAACAAGAAATGGAGGGAGGGCTGTGTATTCATTCTTTCACTCTCTCCTGTCTGTGTGCAGAGTTGTGGGTCACTCCCTCAATCTCCTAGAAGAAGTCTACAACTTCCATTTAAGAGTGAGCCTCTTCCTCCTCCTCCTCCTCCTCCTCCTCCCGAGCTCGTGAAAACCTGCAGCCTGTGTGCGGCACTCGTGAGCCTAGTCAGACCTGTTTGGACCCACCGGACTTTTTATTTTTGTTTTAATGTTATAATATCACTATCATCATCATCATCATCATCCATCATCTTGTTGCCCACTTCACCATTTAATTCTCTGCATTGGCAGGTAAGAGTCAAGTTTCGTTGCAAAAATTAAAATTATAGTTAAAATTATACACGATAGCTGAAATATTTTCCTATATTTTTAATTAAATTAAAAAAAATTCATTTGTCTGAACAAATTAAAAAAAGAACAAAAAGTACCTTCTCGGTAACAAAATGACAACAGTGAAGTGAATTAAATTATAATTTGCATATATGGTGTATTTAAACTGTTTGATTTAGTATGTAATTTAAGTGTTGAATATTAATGTAATTTCAGAACATCTCATTTCAACATTATTAAGTGTGGGTTGCAATATCCGTTTTATATGCACAAAATAAATGTATTACCATTTTTTTTTTTCAATTCGAAATGGTCTCCTTTTCACACACAGTATTTGTACTGAATGCATTTTTCAATGGATTATAATATTTCTTCCCACACTGAGAGAATGGAGGGAGGGAACAAAGAGGAATGTACAGTAATGTCTGGAGAGAGTGTGCATGTGAGAGCTTAGTGTGTGTTAAGGTTTTTTAAGCGGATTAATATTGCTCTGATTCTCCTGAGGAAAAACCTCAAGTCTTTGCTCTCAATGACAATAGGTCGGTCTGCTGTCTGTCATATCCATCTATCCAAGCTGTGAATCCATTTTTATTAGTAAACATCTCATTATTATTCTTT